TGAATTATAACCCTTAATCAACTTTTGATTCGATATTTGTGCTCCAACATCTGAGATATAAATTTAAGTTTGATGCTGATTTTAAGTTAATATTTATGTCAATTAACTCTTGTTTATATGAGTGATTTTCTACAAGTTAATATGTAAATGCAAAATCTGTTTAAGTAAGAAATGAATAAAAATAGTATGTTATGTATTTGGCATTTTATTTTTGGTAATTGACCTATGTCTTTAGTAGGAGAAGCTATTAAGTGGTTCACAATGTTTGTTTATTTTACCAGAATATTGCAACAGGATTACCTGTAAACATTAGTTTATATGAATGACCTGTACCTACTTATAATTAGGAATATTAAACAAACAGGTAAGTAGTAAAATAAAAATGTTTCAGTCATCGTTATTTTTTATTAAAATTGACTATTGACTTGAATTAAAGTTGACTATTTTCCTTAACATGTTGCATAGTATAAATAGAAAAAATGGCATACAACTTTATTTAGTTATAAGCCCACAACATCACACACAGTCCTAAGTCCACCAACTATTTCACAAAATCCCACATCTAAAATGTGTGACAATTAATGCAAGCATAAGTTTCTCAGTAAAAAAATCAAATAGAAATTTAAAAAAAAACACACACACACAACTAAAACACACACGACAATGCAAGCACACATTAAAATAAATATCAATTTTTTAACATAAACATAAAATAAAATTTCAACTATGGCACTGTGCAGAAAAAAAAAGAAAAATCATCAGAAACAGCGAAATTAGGTTCTAGAAAGGCACCCCACAATGCCTTCTCAAAAACCGATCAGCCCACTACCGAATATATCCAGCTCTGGATACGCTGTGTTCAATTTGTTGAAATCGCGAAGAATTCGAACGAGAGGTGCCTGAACTCCTAGGTTGGTTTTGGCAGATGGAATTTGGAATATATTGTTGATTGTAAACCTAGGGAATGAGTAAGGGACGACAAATTTGATTTCCTGTAAGAGGTCACTGTTCTGTAAATGGTTGTTGAGCAATTTATACAAGAATGTAACACCGGCTAGAGTTCTCCGATTGTTAAGAGATAACATATTAAATTTTTTAAGTCGCTGATGGTACGGGTGTCTATGTGAAAATCCTCTGCTTATGAATGCTAGGTGTCGCGTAAAAGATCTTTGAATGCTTTCAACGCGTTGCGAATGGATCGCATATAGTGGATTCCATATAATACTACCAAACTCAACATGACTGCGCACCAGAGCGTTGTACAAAATTGTTTTAGTCGTACAACCAAAACAATCCGCATTCCGTTTAAGAAATCCAAGCATTCGTGCGGATGTGGTGACTACTTTATTGACCTGCGATGTACTTAAACGTTAATTTTTTGTCAATAATAACACCCAAGTCACGAATCTCCTGAACCTCCTTCAATGGTGCGCCGTCAAGCTTATACACAGTAACAAGTGTTTTTTTTTTTCTTGTGTATTTCATATGAAAGCACTTATTTATATTGAGGATCATACCATTTAAAAAGCACCAATGTTGTATACCATTAAGGTCACTTTGAACTAGAGCAGCATCACAGACAGTGTTAATAACTTTATAAATTTTTAAATCATCAGCGAAGAGAGACGCTTTACAGTGCTTTATATGATTTTTAACGTCGTTTACAAATAGTAAGAATAGCAACGGTCCCAAATGAGATCCTTGAGGTACACCAGATCGCGCAATATAGGGAGTAGACTCAGCGCCTCCAACAACTACTGACTGAGGCCTGTTACGAAGATAGGACCTAAACCAGTTTAGCAAATTCCCTCCCATTCCATAACCACAAAGCTTCTGAATCAGTAACGCGTGACTGACTTTGTCAAAGGCATTGCTAAAGTCAGTATATATGGCATCAATCTGGCGCCCACGATCTAATTCCTGACATGTTTCAGTAACAAAAGACATGAGGTTCGTTTGAATTGAACGGCCTTTTCTGAAACCATGTTGCTCATCAATGATACAGCCGTCTAAACATTTGGAGATTACGGGATACAGAACAGACTCAAAGAGCTTGGAAAAACAAGATAAAATACAAACAGGACGGTAATTTTTTACGTCGGTGATATCTCCCTTTTTATACACAGGTACAACACGAGACCTTTTCCATACTTCAGGAAAAACACCATCTTTAAGAGATCTATTATAAATAATAGTTAGGGGCAAAGATAACACAAATCTACATCGTTTTACAAATATAGGAGGAAGCTCTAAAGCTAAGGGACATTAGGCCGTCAACATTGCCAATGTCGTCTGGAGTGGAACTGCCAACAAGTGATTCATCACAAGTATATACAGATGAAAATTGATATGAAAAAAGATTAGCAATATCAGGTGATGACTGGGCTGTAACATTGTCCATTTTCATGCAAGAGGGAAGCGATGAGTGACAACCTTTCCTATTTTTAATAAAACTCCAAAAACATTTAGGATTATTAGGAATACTTGCCTCAATATTTCGCTTATACTTAGTGTAGCAATCATCATAAAGTTTGTGACAACGTTTTCTAATAATGTGATACTCTATTTCGTCTCGAGGATTCTTGTATATTCGATACCTCTTACGTGTTTTTTTATTTTTCAGCAAGTAATTTTATTAAGGAAGAACTGAACCATACCGGATACTTAGATTTCGTGATGGTCGTATTAGGTACAACTTATTAAACAATACAGACATTACTATAAAACACACACAGGTTCACCAAATTAAATGCATTATTACCTAATGTAGATGTATTCATATTTATATATGAAGATAATGAACTAATAAATGTAAGTTTTAATTTTCAGCAATATACAAAAAATTGTTTAATTCATAAAACCTAACGTTAGATGTGATGATTTCATAAAATTACTATGATCCTACAGTTACTATGAATACATCCTGGGCAATTAAAAAAAAATAGTGATTGTTTCCTTAACACAACAATTGTAAATAATAATAGTTATTATAAAGATATAATTCTTCCCAAAATCTACAAATGCAGTTTGTTTATAATATCTCATTAACATTTAAACTGCTGAACTTATTAAGATTAAATGTTAGTTTCAGTTACTGTTTCCTGTTCTTGAGGTAATATTACTTAACCAACAATTATTTCTTCCTCCACTCTTATTTTTTTACATTATTCATAAAATGCTTCATCCCCCATTAACAAATTCATTTTCAGGTACATAATATAACACTTAAATTTATAAAAAGATAAGACTTTTAAAACTTGTCCATTAGTGGTTTCTATTAATACTTTTAGTTGTCTTATTAGCTTCTCTTTTTCTGAAAAGAAAATATTTTAGTTAGTACTTTGATCAAATAGAAAACTGACAAACTAAACAACTAATGGGAATTACTGACAACAAACAATGTCAGTAATTCCCAAGGGACTTAAACTTCTCATTCATTAATAATAAACTTCTCTAGTTTATTAACTTAGTAATAAATAATTAAAGAAAATATCTGCTTACCATTACTTAGTATTGTTCACTAGATTTTATATTTCCAAAGTACATGAAGTATAAATCCACTTTATTTGATAAATTTAAACCAATATTATATGATAAGATTCTAATATAATTACAATAAAATATATTAAGAACTTCTAATTATGTTCATTAGTGACTGCTTTCTCATCTGAAATATACAAATAAAATGTATTATCATTTTACTTTGTGATTATAAGCAATATTAAATGGTATAAAGTTTACAACAAACAAGTAACTTACAAGTTACTTAATATATTTTTCAAATTAAAGAACAATTTCATGAACTTACATGCAATATAGAAAAGTAGAAAAAGCACAAACTTTTTTTTAAAAATACTTAGACGCATTTCCGGCAGCAAAAATCACTTAGAGGTGTCCCCCGAGACTCCTGCATAATCAGCATCATCAAATTCGTGCGACGTAATTCCGAATCCAATCCCTTACTATAAAAGCATGTGTCTGAACATAAACTGCCAAGAAGTGTAATGGAACACAGATTATCTGTGTCCGTATGCACTTATTTACGAAACTACTGAAAGGATTTCTACGCTATAGTCACCAAGATTATACATTCAATTTGTGGTTCACGTTTTAAATGGAATTGCAAGTCGAATGGTTCCAAATACTCCAATATTTAGACATACATTTGAACCACGATTTATTAACTCCACGGTATCGCTAATATCTTTCTCATAAAAAAAATAATAGTTTCATACAACAATATATTTTTAATTTTGCGTCATAAGTTGTTAATGTAACAAAGTACACACGCTGACTACATGCACCTAGTGAAGATAATAAAAGTCATTATTTTTCTTACTTTTTGTAATTATCATAATTAGCTTTTGTCACATCATTGTAACTAAACTACACGAGGATTTATTAAATAACCAAGCAACATCTCCATAATTTTCGCTTGCCCCACTGGGCATTAAGATTCAGATGTCGGAGAGATTTCATATACTATCTAAAACTTAAAAATAATTAAGTTAAGACTATTAATTCAACATTCGCACATGAATTTAATCTAAATTATTTAATAACATATACTTATTTGTATAATCGATCACTCTGGGTCGGTACTAGAAGCGTTTGCTCAATATCACATTTTTTGCTATTGCATTGTCAGAAAATATATACAATAATTCCCAGAGGTTTGTCAAACTTAATATTCATGATAACTTTGAAACTGAAGAAACATCAAAAACTAAGGTTACGCTTTGCTAATAACTTTCATTTCACATTAGACAATCCGTACCCTGAGTTTTGAAAAAAGCGGGAGAAGACAGAGTAAGAAATAGAGATTTGTTGTTAGGCATGGATTTTGAGAGCCCCCAGCAAGAGATGAAAAGATAGGAAGTGATAACAATGCCAACGATGATGCTTGCTGTAAAGCACTTAAAATACCAAGCTAAAGTAATGTATGTACTAGACCCGTAAACAATTTATACTGAGTTTCAAAGTTACCAACTATAACAAATTTATCTACGGTGTCGCGGTTTCCTTCTTCGTCTATTAGCCTGAGGTTGGCCGTTTGATGCAGACGGTTGGGAGGCTGGTGCATCTTGGACGATGGCAATACCTGTTTGCACTACAATGGGGCTTGAAGGTATGCGAGAATTGGCAACACCAGCGCTAGAAGTACCTGAAGTATTAGCATTGGTAGGCCTACTAGCAATGGCACTTGATCTAGCACTGGGACTGGCACCTCGGGTGGATATGATTGGGCTTGTACGACCAGTCGATAGACTGACTGTGCTGCCATTTTCTCTGTTATTGCTCGTATAATACTCGTCTGAAGTTCGTGGGGTACCCAAGGCTGCCCTTAACCGTCTCCTCATCCGCCTCCTTGCACTTCTAGATAATGGCTGAGTTTCATTTTCATTTAATTCCATCTCTTCACTTTCTATTTCCACTTCTTCCTCTTGGTTTGCATTACTGTCTTCAGACCAGACACTAGCTGTACGCCTTAAAGTGGCAAAGGCTTGGGTTAGCCAATGAACATCACTTTGCAGATTGTCCAGAAATGGTTCAAGGTTATATGAATCAGTTCTGTTTCCTCGACGCGCAACTCTGATTATTCTCCGGGGCTGAGTGGTGTTTGGCAGTTCTTCAAATGTCAGTCGACGGAGTGATAGTTTGCCACTCATGGTACTTGATGAAAGCATTGCAGATGCATTTGTTCCAGTTATGCTGAGTGTGTGTTTCTGTTTTTTCAGTGTACCCTCGCAAGATTTTACTGACCAGACCTGTGAAATAATAATTTGAGTATTATAAGACTTTTTTTAGGTTTCTAATTTCTGGTACTGCACTGGTACCCCAAAACTTCTACTATATATATTCTGACTTCAATGTTCTGTTTTGTGTTTGTACCCTATTTCAATATAATTTCTAGGAATGTTTATTGCAAATTACATAGGACCAGCCCTGGTTCTATTAGATTTGTTGTAATGGATAGTCCTTTTGAAATGTCAATTCCTTATGGAATAATGGTTGTTTTCAAAAAAGTCTTAAAGGTCAAATTGATGAAATTTTAAAGCCAGTTTTCAAAAACTATTTTGGAATCAAATTGACAAATAAAACTTTTTAAATATCAACAAATTATTGTTTAAGTAAAATCAAAGTTACTTACGTAATCAGTGAAAATTGCTTCCCGGTCATTTCCAGAAATTGTAAGTGAGTAGTTGAAGCCGTTAGCGACCCAAGAAGAGGCTGCCATTGTCATCCAAGCATGCAATACATGGCCTTCTTTAAAAAAAAAAAAAAAAGTATAGTACATATAAACTAAAATTTTAATGGGACATACTTCTGGGCAGTTGAATTATTAAAATAATTACACAGAACAATGGAGGAAGGTTAAAAAGTTAAAATTAAGCAGTAAATTTACCTATTTTGCTTACTGTACTTACCAACAATTTCAATGACTAGGAAGAAAATTCCCATTTCAACAACTCGAACTGCTGTCACTATTCTACCTGGGCTTGTTGGAAACTGCCAAGCTTGCACATACTCCGCATTTTCAGTACGGCCCTATTTAAATCATAAAATATATATATAGTACATATATAAATTGATTGGAAATAATTTAACTTAAGAGCGGCCAACCCGTCTATCTTTTCATACAAACGCTCGCACGTAATTATGGCGTTGTAACAGATGTTTATTTGAAAGTTTTGACCTAATAGGCACCTTGTGCACTATATCTAGGTTTCTGTTAAAACGCGAAATCAAAATTTTAAGAAACAAGTTCAGTACAAACCTCCAAAAATCAGCCTTTTTGCACAAATTTTATATGAAGTTAGGGCGTTTATAATGTACTCATTAATTGTAACCGGAAAGAAATATTTGCATAGAAACCTTGCAAATGTAATGGAGTTTCTAAATGTAAAACTATTTTTTCATAATCTTGTAAGGCTCACGAAAAAACACGTATTTCTTGGAACAAGTTTATGAAATTTCCGCACACAATTTTTCTTTCAATGTTATCGCCTTCTCACTTGCTTGTAAGGCCGTTTCTCCACTGCTCCGGTCCGGCAAACGTTATTTACCGATCCGATTTAGAAACTCACAACAGTACTCACGTACTTCTCCACTACTCCGGCATCCGGTTTTTAAGGATCCGATAACTTGCTAGATCGGAACGCGGTGTTTTATCGGTCCAAGTATATCCAAGTATCCAAGAGGTTATAAATTATTATTCACAGGTTTATTTATAGTTTCTTTAATTTGAAAGAATCTGGATAACCTGGACCAAACCAAATTATGTTGCTATTTATTTATATTTTTATACCATAGTATTAGTGAACTATTTATTAAGTAGATTATAATATTTTAAGATAGACAATATAAAAAAACTTGCCAGGGCAATAAAATATTCAGAATTTAGAACGTTTTATTAATAAAATAAAGTATATGGGTTTAGTTAATATAAGTGTTGCATGATAAATATACAAGTATCGATTATTGTCGGATCGGATAAAGTGGAGAAGCGCAATCCGGCCTTCCGATATTTTACTCATGACTCATTCCGGTATCCGACGCCGGACCGGAGCAGTGGAGAAAGGGCCTTAGCCATGTGGTAAGCGGGGTACGAGTCGAGCGGGGACGGGCGGTGTGAGACGCGGGAGTTGCGCTGGATGAAACAACAAGCTTTTTGGCCATGCTCACGTTGCCGTTCGTCGGACGGGGAAGGGCGCTCTTAATGTTCTTTTATAAAGTAGATAATTTACATTACTCAATGTTTCAAGTGCTTTTCAATTGTCAGTATGGTCTCACAAATAGACATAACTTTTTAATGTGATGATTAAGACCTAAATGTTAATAACGATTGAGGCGTGGTTAGTATTTCCGTTGTATTATGCTGTTTACTTTTTATATCCATAAAAAAAAATCCACCAATATACTTGAATAAACCAACCTAAATGTGAAGTTTGACCTATAAATGGACATGATTTTATTGTTATAAAAGCATTTTTATCTTCATTATGTACTGTCAAAAATCATTACAACATTTCACACGAAACCTTCCGCAGATGATATTTGACAATTATCTTAATATTATATTAGACACTTATCAACATACCTCGATGAGATCAGAACGGTGGAAGTACCGTAAATGGTTCAGAAGTCTGGCTAGTGGTAGACGTTGCACACTGCCTTGCTTGCAGCAAAGACAACGATACAGACCCCGACAGGATAGAGGCGGGGGCAATCTATTCTGTATAAATAATGGAATTTTTTTTAATATTTTGATGATGAGAATTGTTTTCTTACAAGCTTTTAAAGAAAAAACTTTTTACCGGATTAAAGTTACGTATTATTATAAATTATTATATACAATTATTTAAAATTATGTTAAATAATTGTAAATTTATAATAATACATAACTTTAATCCGGGTAAAAAGATTTTTCTTTAAATGTGTAAAGGTTATGTCAATCAAAGACAATACTTCTTACAAGCTTTTTTTTAGGTTTAACAGATAATTGCTTATTTCAAATGGGTAATAATTATTACCCCTAAATACCTGATCTGACTTAAAACTTCACGTTCTCTACAAATTTCTAAATTACTTTATTGAAATGTCACAGATATAAACATACCGTAGAAGAATTGTCACTACTTTCTTGCTCTTCCAGTTCTGGTGATTGTATTACAACTTCTGCGTCAGATGTTTCAATAATTGCAGCAGGTGAACTGCTTTGTGACGATTCAGAGGTTTTCGTGCTTGATTTCTAGACAAACAATTAGCATAGATAGTATACACAGTTAATTAAAGCAGCCCATATTCAGAAAAGTCAATCAGTGTTATTGGAATAATTAAGTACTGTTTTGTTTCTATATGCCAAATTGTTAGTATTATTAATAATATTTAAAAAACATATATACAATTAACATTTTTCAAATTAATTATCAAGATAATTACTGTTAAACTATAAATATAATGGTGTAGGTAACATAATATATAATATATTCATCTCATAACGGTTCTCTTCTGCCACAATCTAAATATATACACAATTCAAAACTATAATTATATATTGATATTATTTATAAAATAGGGGGAAGTTTAGAATTGCCCAGAATGACAGACTATTAGTCCTGTAGTCTACACACTTAGATATTGTATCACAAATTAAAATTATTCATTGACAAAGGATTGCAACAGTCGAGCTACTATGATGGCTGAATTATTCATGGTGTACTCACAACTTTCTCAATTTTCTTAACCTTTATAATCAATTAAATCATATACGTGAATTCCCCCAAATAGATCTGTTTTCAAACTCCCCATCAATTTTCAAAAAGTTAGCGGCTCAGCTGATTACTCATTAAGACATTATGGGGGTTATTCAATTAATTCAATTAATTTTGTAATGTTTTTATTTTATTTTATCTTAACTTTATTTTTTCTTCTTTTAATGTGTTTATAAAAATTTAGAATGTTGTATGCGCCTATAATTGGGGTAGCACTTGGCTTGTGTTTGTGTTACATTGCTTGTATTAGTGTTTACTTTGTTGGTGCATAAATAAATAAATAAATAAAAAATAAATATACATATTTGCCAAAATACAAATCACATACAACACACAACAATAGCAAAATTGGCATGCATTTTTTTAAAATTAATTGCATAGAAACTAATACTAATAGTATAATCTATTTAGATAAGTTATATTATTAGCAATATAAAGGAATAGGAAGAAATTAAAGGATAGGAATATGAGGGAAGTAATAATATCATGATAATTTCATAAATAAATCATTATTTAATGAAAATAATGCTCAATAAATTTTAACAAAATAAACATTTTCAAAAGACACTATCTACTTTTATTACATATTTCAGCTAAATTAATTTAGATAATTTCAGAGTTATATATACAATGATAATTCTTTTAGTAATGATTCAACTGTATTAACAAATTAAAATTTAGATTCCCTTGAATATTCTCAATCCGATTCAGATTTTAGAGATACAGGAGTCATAATTAGTGCTAAGCCTAAACTCTGCATCTGGAGGTATGAACAATCATTTTAAAATGTAAAGTAAGGCACTTTACACATTCAATTTATCAGATTGGACATAATACTTATCCACCTATAGTATATAAATAATCCTATATTTTACTTACAAGTTGTTTAACTCTCTTGAAGTTGGCTATAAGTTCTTCCATAGCATAGTTTCGTGTGCCAAAAAAAAAGGCTCTGCACACAGGGCAAACATCCAGACGCATCTTACACCTGCCACACACATGGTGACCCTCATTGCATTGGAATATTTGACCAGAAGGTATTTCATAGCAAACTGGACATTGAAGTAGATCTTCTAGATTTAAAACTGACTCGGGCTGTAATACATTATCAATGTTTTAGATAAAATTATCCTAAGATGTATTAAGTATTAAAAAATAAAAAAAATCACGTTGAATTAACATCGTGTACCTACGTACGTATACTACGGAGAAAATAAAAATACCATATGATATTTTTTCCTATTAAATTAACACATGATTTAAAAATTCGATTTACAAGTTTCTATTTAAAAGTTATCAGAAACTGTTACGAAATAATATTTTAGTTTAATGAAAATGGGTTCTCCGTAAAACATAGTAGGTAGACACAAAAGAGAAGCATGACTTTTACGAAGCCTAAAATTTTTTCCACATGTTCGGAAATTGATTTTAAAATGTACAACAGAGTATTATTTATAAAGGAAATTAATGATTTCATGAAGTAACGAACTAGGTTGAAACAATGGAACTGAACTATGTTAAAAATACTGAGGATTTGGCAATCGTTATTTTAATAGTTTCTTACCTTTTCCTCTACTGTTTCAGCCATTCTCAAATTGTTGAGCTTAAATAATTGTAATTAAAAACTAAGCTTATAAATAAAATGCAGCAATGCATATATTAATATGGTCTTTTAAATTTAAAACACAGCTGTATCTTTTTGCAAATGGCGGATTTGTGAGTTGAAACTTGACTTTAAGAAAATACCAAATAGTCAGTGTGACCGTTTTATAAACGGTGTCAATATTTCGAATTGAAATGATGAACGATTCTTTTTTCTTTTTTAATATTATGGCAAATAACTTTATGGCAGTTTCAAACATTTTAATTTACAATTCGTCATTTGAGATTTCAAGAAATTATTTTGCATAAAATATGAAATACTAATATTTCATAAATTCTCTTTACGAAATTTTAATTTTAAAAATAGAATTTCTATAAGGTAATTCACCCTTCTCACTTTCTCTCAATCGGTCTCCAACGCTCTTTCCCTTTTTTTCGACAAAAACGCTGCACATCTTCGTGACGTTTCATCTGTAAAAAATTTACGCTGATTCGCCTAAAGAAGTTTCCCTTTAATAATCTTTAAGGTTTGCGCTTTTGATGTAAATAGTAGCATATTAGTTATTATAAGTAAGATTAAAATATCGCCATTTTGATGAAACAAATTAACAGAAACAAAAAAAACCTTAAATTATATCCAAATCACAACCTCAACGTCATGTTGCTCAAGTAATTTGCTTTTTGATAAGATGAATAATTGGTCTATAGTTTAGGTTATATGGATTCTCTCCGAAGTTCGAAGTATAAATAGCAACGAACAATATATCTACAAAATTGAATTGTCTCTTATTCTTAATATCCACAAATAGTTGTATTTGTATTGAAATTTATTCATAATTCAGATTCATTAACAGCAATTATTATTTATACGTTACTATTTAACGCATATTTCTTAGGATGATCTACAATTTATTTTGACATCTCTCAATTGGCATTATTATTAAGACAGACAAAAATTGTGAATTGTGAAATGACAATTGGCAATACTTGCGAGAAATGTTCAATGTTTTGTGTTGAAAAGTTGAGTTTAATTTTTATTAAGTTCACTTAAACAACCAAAGATCATTAAAAACTAAATGCCTATTGAACTATGAACTCATCAGAAGTGTAACTTATTTGAAGAATTATAGTATTCTCTAACTATATAGCAAAATGAACTTCTATTATGCTTTTATCGTATGCGTCACTTATCTTACCCAAGGTATTTTATTCAATCGTTCTTACTAAACCGTACTTTCTTGCATCTTTCCCTTTTTATTTAAAAGTGCAGTTTATTAATATGACAGGTATTTACATATTATATACAAACTATAATTTTTATTTTAGTTTCACAATGTGAGAGATTACATGGACAGATCTATTCATCGATTGAGGGAAGTGCTGCTTGTTTTAGAAGACTAAATGGCACACATCAAATGGGATGTTCATGTAAGTTTCACGAGAAAAATCATATAATTTTAAAATTGTCAGAGAAAGTGAAAATATGTTGCAGATATTTCATATTCTCTGATAATAAGCTTAACTTTTGTACATACTAAAATAATGTTCCTGCAGTCAGTTATTAATAGTTATTTACAGACCTCAGAGTGTTACTTTGATCCGAATATTATAATTTGTATTGCACATTCAATCTTGTAAGTCACAGTGAATTCAGCACCTACTTAATCTGAGCTTTAATTTGAGATTATTATTATCCACAACACATATATTCTTTATCATAACTGATCCTTATTTTACAAATTCACTTATATGGTAAATAAGTACCATATACCCTGGAAAAAGGTATGAAGAATAACAAAATATAATACTAATGCCACTTTCTAAACAACACTTCTATTAAAATATATTAAAAGCAACTTTAATTTTAGTTTAATAACATAGTTGATTTTATTATTAATTATAATACATACAAACATACAAACAAAAACAAGAATACATTAGTATTCTTATTAATTTATGTCCCAAATGGAATTATTGATATAAAATCACCTACTGACTGATTTATTTTATATTTCAGCCTCAGACGGTGGTGCTGTGGGTATAGTGCAGATGATAAAAGATGTTGAAGATGCACAATGGATAATTAAAAACTCATCTTCTGGCCCTTATGTTGCTGTGGTCAGCACATCTCTATTTCAAAGTGTTATTAATCTGTTAATTGATGACCCTAGTAATGTAGCGGGTGTATTGCTGTATGATAATGGTACTATGAGGTAATAATATGTTCTTTTCTACTTCTAAACTCCAGATGTTAAAGTGACACTGCCACCCATTACAACCTCACAAATGGGTTGTTGGCCTTTTAATGGATTTTGTCCTGAAGGACCCCACATAGTCCCCCCACATAGTAGTAGTTAAAAAATTGGTTCAGAAATACCTCAGCAGACAGCTTGTTGAATGTGAAAGTGTTTTAAAAGCCCTATGTTGTGGAATGAACATCATCAGGTGGACTTTCATTGTCCCTCTACAATCTTTATGCATGTTTTGTTAATAATTTTCCTAAATACTTGGAGGTGATCAGCCCTCATGAGCCTGTCATACATGCCTAATGAGAATAATAAAGGTGAGTAAGATTTCTCCTATTTATCCCCACTTTATTGTCTATTCACTGTGCATACAATGAAATATATACTCAAACCCTAGGGGTTCTTTATAAAATATTGTATTGTAGTTCTTCTGGTCTTCGACAGAAGGTGTTGTTGTACCTGTTGATAGTACGATATACAAACTCACGGCTGATTGAAGTGTCAGGAATATGACCAATGGCTCCATACCCACTTTGTGCAAGTCGATCACTGCAATCTTATTTTCTTTAACACCCCAATTCATATAATGAACACGAAAAAATATGTGAAATGGCGGGAATGAAATATGGGAAATATCACATATATTATTCCAAATTTAAGAAGTTAAAAAGAAAATTTATTGAACAGTATTTATGGCCAGACTAATATATGAAAAGTAGGTTGTCTGATTGACCAATATGTATGATATTGTTGGTATTGGATAATATATGTATGAGGATGGAAGGCTTTTAAGGTAGTGTGCTTGTGTGCTTTACACAATTCAATGTTTATTTTGTGTATATTTTAACTTTGGTAGGTAAGTTTCCTCAGAAATGTTTTAGTCGTTTTTGAGATATGGGTATACATTTATGAGGGCGACATGTGTACTATAGTTTAATTCATTAAAAATTGTGTTATTACTTTCAGGCCAAGTTCATTTAGTCAAGAATCGAAATGTCCAAACGAATATTCAGCCGCTCCAGGTAGTACCTGCTCATCATCCGGCGAAACTGTTTGGAACACAAAAGGAACGGGTTTATTAAGAAAAGATATACCATTTCCGATATTTTTTGTGCCAGACTCAAAGACAGATGAGATTGAGAAAATTGAGAAATGTTATAATAGGTAAGTTTTATGTAAAAAGTTAAACATATATTTCATTTGTTCTTTTGTGCAATAGCACAAATTGTATTTTTATTATATATTTGATTCATTCTGATGTTTATTTTAATTATCGAACAGTTCTGATTGCTTGGTATCTTAAAAGATATTAATAGTATAGGTAACAAAACCTATCATAACAGTTGTACCTAAGTTTGTGTTACATTTATTTAAGTCTAAAACTGTATTTTCTAGATACTAGTATACATTGCTTTACTAAGACATTTCAGTAAATTATTAAGTTAGCCTACATGACTTCAAATTATTCCCCTTATGGTTAATTTTTATTTACTGGCAATACTAATATCCATGACAGCGACGCTCTTACCGACCAAGAAAAGTATGTGGCACTGTATGGTGCATAATATGATTTTGTTTTTAAAGGGTAAATGTCAGATTCAACAAGACAGCACGAACTATATCATATGACAAATACTATTTTGACATACGTTATTTAGCGCTCTCGATATTAAATACTATTATTAATACTAGTAATTTTTCACTAGGCATTTGCTGGTGAACTGTGGAATTTACTTCCCTGATGACCTTATAGTTTAAAATGACTGCCTACTCCCCTCTCAGGCCGGAAACACCCACTAATAGGTTGTCCATGGGCAATGACTGCCCTTTATGGGTGTCTCGTAGGCTCGTTTGTCCTACAAAACAAAATTAAAACGTGTGGCACTCGGGGACTGCCGCGGTAAAGCTATTGCATAGCATTTTTTATCAGCTTATGCAGTTATAATTATTTATTTATTTTTTATTTATGCAGTATTTGTTTTTCTTTGATATTATTTCAATCTACCACTCTACCAGACTCAGACTAAAACGCCTATATAGGCTGTCTCACTCTAACGCGTACCGGCTGCACCGGCCGCGCTCACGATCTCGTCAGAGTGATGGGAATGCGCAGTATGCGTTCTGTCTCACTCTAACGCGTATTTGCCACACCTATATTACGTCATCGTTTGTTAGGTTTTTTTTCGTTACAGAATTTCTTGATTCGGTCGCCGTGCTCAAAGCCCGCGATAAAATCTATGCAATAGCTTAAAAATATGATTTATTTAGTTTTTTGTAGTACTTCTCACAAAGGCTGGCACCACACACGCTCGCACTAAAATGGGTGTCTATGACTATCTTTTATGGGCGTCCCAATAAGACTCAAGTATTTTTTGTTGATTTCAGATATAATTTAGATAAGAGCAATCAAGTTGGCGTACCGCTTTGCTCAGTGCAGTTGCATTCGTTCATGTATGCCGCGGTCAATACAGCTGTGTGTTTGCGACGGTAAGTTTTTTAACTAAACTATTTTTTTACGTTTGAAATATGTGTACTTATATGTTTTTAATTTGGACCACAATTCTTTTTTTTAAATTGTCTCTGCACAAAGACGACAATGTTATCTAGGCCAACTTTATAGCGCGCATTAGTCTAGCACTAGCGCCCACTCTAGTGACTATAGTCATATTTTTAATTAGACGAAGCCAAGTGACAGTAGCTAATGTCACTTTGTAAAATAATGTTGCCATATTTAAAGTAATAGTGATGCGTTCAGTTCTTGTTCAATCAGATGAATGAACAATGAGTGTGAATGGTTAATCATTTCAAACTATAAAATAATATTATTTCTATTTCAAAATTGTATAAAAGTGCCCTGATATAAGTTAGGTACTAGTACTATGTAACTACAATCAGTTTTTTGACGGCTTATTTCATAGCGCGGCGCGGCGACTAGTGCCATCACCGATCATTAATTCAGGGGTCTTTACTTTGTCACAACACTATTTTTATTTCATTAAAAACTGACAACACCGTAAATGTCAGTTGACTTCGTCTAATTAAAAATACGACTATAGTGAAACAACCATATGCTTGAAGTTCGCGTGAGACTGACGATAGTGTTTCTAAAATGAAGTGCACAAACGCAACAAAAATTGGTTGGCTATAAAGTCGGTCGGTCGGTTGAACTAAAGATATCGACTTTACGTGTTAACGTCATAAGGAGACATTGTAAAAAAATGCTTACTTTTATGAATTAAATTGACTTATTATCACTAAATTATTATTATTTTGTATAATAATTTTTTTTCCGTAAATTAACATATAGATGGTTAAGGTTAAGGGAGCGTTCAAGTATTACGTCACGCAATTTTTGGAGATTATTGACCCCCCATGTAACGCACCGTAACGTTTTTCTGTACCCAATAGTAAAACCTATTCCTATTCTCGATTAGGCGGACTCATGCTCCTCTGATTTGAACGAAGAGCTACTTGACAAGATCGAACGCCTGCAGAATTTATGCATACGTTTCATATTTGGTCTTTGAAAATATGACCATGTGTCTAAATTCCGCAAACAGCTGGGGTGGCTACCTATTCGATTCAGACGTCACGCTCATCTTCTTCAACTTCTATACTCAATTCTTTTCAATCCGAAAACCCCTTCTTATCTCAAAAATCACTTCAAATTCTTAGGTCCTTCTAACTATATGTTACGCTCTTCTAATAGATGTTTATTGGAAATTCCATCCCACACTTCATCCTTCTTAGGCAATTCATTCACGATATCCGCTATTAAGTTGTGGAATGGGCTGCCCGACTCCGTACGACTGGCTACCTCTCTGTCATCTTTTAAAACTCTTCTGTATAATCATTTCTTAACCTTATCCTATCCTGATCAATCGTGACTTGTATAATTCTTGTTTCCTTTTGCGTGATGCAATATGCAATATATTGATGTTCATGAATTTGTAAGATTAGCTTTTAAGTTTTTAGTCTGTTAATAATATTTTCTTTTGTATTACTTTAGATTAATGTTATATATATATATAAAAAAATATATATATTTTTATATAACATTTGGTTTTGCACTTCTCGCACGCATCATGTTTATTTTTTTTAGTTTTTCCTCTTTAACTAGGGTTGCCTGGAAGAGATCGCTTATTAGCGATAAGGCCGCCCGTTGTATCCCTTATAATTTTTATGTATGTATTGTGTTTCTTTTATTTGCAACGAAGTGGAAATAAAATAATTAAATAAATAAAACGTTTCGTGACCACCCAGTGACTCTTTAAATACCTAAAAGCATTGATATACAAAAACCCAAGATGCACAATCAACGTCTAAAAAACGTCCTCAAAAAATGAGCGCAACATTCTAAATTGTGCGCTCATTTCAAATAGTCTCGCGTCTATAAGTGGAGTCGATGTTATTTATTTGTGTTTTTTTATAAATAAATTTATGTACTCTTGAACTTTTTTGTGTGTAGTTTTTGACAAATATATTTATTACACGTCGGAAATATCTGCGAACCTCGCTGGAATGCGCTTCCCCTGGCGCTTCCCCGCACCCCGCCCCGTTTTCGCCTATCCAGTACCGTTGCCAACGCAATCGCCGACGCACGTGTATTATTCTTGCTTTCGTAATCGCATTTTAGTGTTTATTGTTTCTCTGTTTGGTGAAATATTACATAAACTACCTATTTAGTGCTGTATGTAAGATGGGTAGGACTATAATATATCAATAAAAATAAGTACACAAATAAAATATTTTTTATTTTTACATCTTCAATTTTTTTGCTATCTCTCCAGTTTGTATGACGTCATTAAGCCAGGTTCGCAGATATTTCCGACGACTTGTACGCTATATAAAGTGTGGGTCAGGAGGTAGCCAATTTAACATTTTTTTTAATTTAAAGAAAAAACTTTTTAACCGGATTAATGTTATGTATTATTATAAATTTACAACTATTTAACATCCAACACCTTTTCTCTTCAGTCACCGTGACCACTCACGCTGTAAAGCACCCGAAAAGTCGGATAAATTAAAAATTATGTTAAATAGTTGTAAATATAAAAGTCATGTTCGACTCCACTCAATACCTTGTCCTACCGACCACGGTCGGTCGTAAAATTTTATTGCTTTAAGTACGTATACACTGCGTTGTAATAACAACTTTAAGCAATTCGCGTAAGGTTGATTTTGCAATAATATATGCTTGTAACATATACTGTTATGGACAGAAATAGTGTTTCGGGACACTTTCGAGCGTTACTTTTATTCGAGACTGTGCATCTTGGGTTTTTTGTATATCAATGCCTAAAAGTTACCATTATGTGGTGTAAAGTACTGGAAAGTCGAAAATATTATTAACAATAACGTGTAATTTAAACCCCGCCACGCATCGTAACATTTTACAAAGAGACCCCCCAAATTCGTTACGTAATACTTGAATGCTCCCTAATACAAATACATTAAAAATTCTTGATAACGTCATTATTTATAACGAAAAAGTCTCTATAACGTAAAAATGAGTTAAATTTGTTTGGTTTAACACAAAACCCATACATTAGTTCACTCTTCATAACGCAACAGACTATTACGAAGAAATATTGTCATATTTAGACATCAACAACATACTTATGTGTAATTGTTTTTAATCAGCTTACAAAAATAACCTTTTGAAGTGCCGAAATTTCTAAGAAATACATCTGAGGTCATAAACAGCCTTCTCGCCTTTGTTATTGTTAATTGCATTAACACGTGTGCCATTATTCATAGATTACTTTGCCTGTTGGAAATTTTGGTCTCAGTTACTAAACGCACCATCGTCACCTATCTATTAAATATATAAATTATTGTAATAGGTTAAATTTGTTTTTTTTCTCTTCCCTCTGTTTAAAGAAAACTCTCTATAGCGAAAAAGAGATAAGCCAATACAAACGCTTAGGCCGATCGTGCCTCTCTATCGGTTGTTCCGCGCTCTCGCTTGCACGCTCGAGTCATGTTTCATCGTGCGTGGAGCCGGCGTTCATCGATTTATAAGACGTTATGATCGACAAAAAATATTTTCAATTGTGTCTTCATTTCAGGTCCGCATCATCAGCGTTTTTGACTCCAACGAAAGTTTGTGATCCACTCGGCGATTATAATGTTTATTATTCGTTGTTCCCAAGGGCACAGGTATGTATTGATATAAATCTTTAACTAATAAAATGAATTTTGGAGCGTTCACTGCGTGCATAATCCTTGGTGCTCATATTGCCGCCGTTTAAACTTAGCAAACTAAAAGTCAAAGACAAAAATTATTTATTCATATAGGTAACACAATGTACACTTATGAACGTCAAAAAAGAAATATATATTAATTGCTTCTAATTTTACTTTTACTGCCGGTTATCAAATCAAGGGCGTAGAACGGAAGAGAAGAACTGGCTGAACTCTACGCTACTCTTTTTAATCGCCAAGTTTTTTGTTTTACACAACGTTTGTAAGGAGCTGCAACCATTACACCATGTTCCACATGACATCTTAAGTAATTAATAATAAAATAAAAAACACAGATTTGTCCTCTATCAGCAGGACGCATGGTGAAATAGGAGCACGCACTTACATTCTCGTGGGAACAACACGCAAATACATAGTTGAAATAACTAACATGAAATGCTTTTACACACGAAATTACTTTTATATTTTTTTTTTAACAAACAAAAGTTCACCTTCACTGTGAACTTCTTAAAACGAAAACTGTCTTAAAAAACGCTCAGTTGTCGGACGGACATCGATGTGATACGGATGGTATTTCGTATTCTGTCTCTGAACACTCCGTGGTAAATGATGCCCATTTTTATCAAGAATCTTCTTTATTCGCCTTGACATCATCAGAGTCTTTACATATTTGAATGTTTTACAGGAAAATGAGACTGAGAGAAGACCAGTTACCTTCGTAACAGCCAGAATTGATTCGGCTTCATTATTCGATGGTAAGTTAAGTTTAGAAACCCCATTACCATCAGTTCTTGGCCAAATGCCACTAAATTTTCCAGGGCAAGATCGGGCAGGCTGAATTTTTTGTTGAATCTACACTTTAGACTTTTCACATTTTTCCTCCATTCAATTTTGGAGTCTATACGGAAATATCAAAACATCCCCCTTTCCTCCTATCCATCTCCAAATAAAAGTAATTGAAGAAATGAATTATAGTAAAATTTTGGACAAGTTTTTGATGTTTTCGTCCTCGGTTCAACGGTGCCTTTTCCTGGTGCAGAGTCCGAATAATGTTCATCAAGCCGAGCTTTGGCTTCAACAGTATTTTTTTCGCCAAAAAGCAATGCTTTATTAGCACACGAAATTCTTTTGATCTATTTAAACAAACAAAAGTTCCTTCACTCAACATACTTCTCACAAACTACGACGACAACTGTCAAATTACACACGTGTCCTTTGAAGGTACTAACTATTTCGTTAACATTTGTTGTTTGCCCCAATTTATTTTATTTTTAGCCTTAAATTATTTCCTGATACACTTATATGTAATTATACTATGTGTTAGTAGATATTTTTTCAGTTAGTAAGTAAATGCCTCCTCCAAGGCTTGCCATCTTTCTCTATCTCGAGCTATTTGGATCCATTGACAACCCGCGATCTTTTTGATGCCATCATCCATCGTAGGGTCTGCCTCTGAAACGTTTGTCTGGTGGGCCTCTCCATGTAGTTACTGATTTCGTCTACCTGTGATCTGTGAGGCGCGCTACATGACCCGCCCACTTCCACTTCAGTTGTTTTGCGTCATTGCATCAGAGCATCAATTGAAGACTGTTTTGGAAAAACAACCAATGTCCAAATGGATTCTCTGTAATTCATACTATGATTTGGGTTTCATATTATGAGCAAAAACAACCAACTTCCATAGTGGCTAGGCTAAAAGAACCAAGGTCCATGAACAATGGCGGTTTTAAAAAAAATCTTAGGAAGAACAGCCAATGTCAAAGACCCTGGTCTACTTTTGCTGGGAACTGATCTCAAAAAAACTTGAAACTTAAATATACCATATAAATAAAATAAATAAAAATTCTTATGGTTTATACTATCATTTATTATTATGTACTTTAAATAATTAAAAAAGTAGTTACTATTTCATTGTTTCCATTTTACTAAGTTTTATTTACTTCCTGTAAAGTTAGATCCCTGTGACATTGGTTGTTTTTCCAAAACAGTCTTCAATTAATTGCTTTCGGCTCTGATGTTATTACACGCTTTATATTAGCTTCACCTGTATGTATGTATGTATGTATGTATGTATGTATGTAACCGACTCCTTCGGACTCGATTTTGACCCACTTTAAACGGACAGATTTAATTCAAACTTTGTACACTTATAATGAATCAGCGACAATATAATAATTTCATAGGTTTATCTCGAAAAAACAATGAAATTTTTTTTAAGTCCACAAATACGATTAAATTGAGACAACACGTATTGCTGCTAGGATAAAAAAGTGGAAAATAAATATAGTTTAAAAAAACTATAAAACACGCTTTTAAAGCACATCAAACTAAAAAGTGAATGTGTGCCATATTTTTCGTCTATCGAGCAACCCACGCTTTTTCACAATAATACCAGTATTTTTTGTTCATTACCATTTTCAGCCTAAATTAGGAATTATTTTTCACTGTTTAGTTTGATGTGCTTTAAAAGCGTGTTTTATAGTTTTTTTAAACTATATTCATTAATGTTTAGCATGCTCCTTTCCATGCCTCGTTGACATGCTTATTGTTTTTTGTTTTATTTGGTGATTGCCCCAATAGTATAACTAAATTTTAATTTCGTGTAATTTTAATTGGCCAAAACTCACCAATACCCAGAGTATTCTGATAAACGTTAGGTCTGGATATCCCCTCACACTTTGAAATCAATTTTACTTTAGTGTTTATTATTTATGAATGGATGTATTTTCTCTTGTTTGTTTGCCTATAAGTGCTTGTCACATTAAATATTGAATTACCTTGTACCAATGCGTCAGTGTGCCGAGCGTTGGAAAGCTTTTATAAATAAATACAATAAAAATCATAATTATTCAATACAAGTAGCGCCATCTATGTGTCGCCTACGACCTAATCGGGACCTTATATGTCAAAAATATTAGATTTTTAATTAATTAACTTTTTTGTTAGGTGTATCACCGGGTACGGCCAGCTCCGTTGTCGGAATGGTAACTTTAATATCGACAGCGGCAACACTGTCCAAAATGATACCAGTTGCAGATGAAAAATTATATGGTAAGTAAAATTATATAAATAAAGAGCAGTAGTGGCTTCAGCGTGCGACTCTCATACCTGAGGTCGTAGGTTCTATCCCCGGTTGTGCACCAATAGACTTTCTTTCTGTGTGCGCATTTAACATTCGCTCGAACGGTGAAGGAAAACATCGTGAGGAAACCGACATGTCTTAGACCCAAAAAGTCGACGGCGTGTGTCAGGCACTGGAGGCTGATCACCTACTTGCCTATTAGATTTAGAAAATGATCATGAAACAGAATCAGAAATCTGAGGCCAATAAAGAGGTTGTAGCGCCACTGATTTATTTTTTTATTTCTTAGTATAGCTAATAATATTCTGTGGACATTATTTAACGGTGAATCTTTTGACTACATCGGCTCCCAACGGGTCGCATACGACATAAGCAGGGGATCATGGCCCCCAGTCAATCCTCTGTCCCTCTCTGACATTAAGCTGCATGTGGAGATAGGACAGTTGGGTGGGTCCCTGGACTTATACAAGGATAATGTGTCGTGGCCCTTGTATGCCTTCACTGGAAATGTGCTCGCGCAAGAGGTATGTGTCAACAAATTATTTCTGCCAATTTTCAGGTAGTAAGATGAATAAGGGAACGTTCAAGCCCCCCCATGTAACGCGCCGTAACGTTTTTCTGTACCCAATAGTAAAACGTTTCGTGACGTTATACCTAAAAGTCTGTGCCTTTTATTTCCCTCCCCGCATCTCGCCCATATCATAACGATATTTCCAGAGTATCCCGGGTATAGTAATTAAAGTCCCTTTTTAGGAGGGGGGAGAGCACTCCCCTTCTGCCTAGCTTCTGGGCCACAGATTTGTCTGATAGCGTGTCTGTTAAGCTACTGTGTATTTAAAAAAAAAGTGCGTGTGTACACAGTACACATGACAGAAGTGTAACTTCTTTGGCAAACTAAATATTGTCAAAAATTAATACAAATAAAAAAAAATATTTCTTCGATAATAAAAACACGTGACATTTTAATTTATAATTTGTCATTTGAGATTTTAAAAAATTATTTTGCATAAAGTATAAAATACTAATATTTCATAAATTCTCCTTACGAAATTTTAATTTAAAAAATTGAAGTTCTATAAGGTAATTCGCCCTTCTCACTCTCTCTCCATCGGTACAAAACTAAACACCATCCCTAATTTTCACCCCTCGACGATCAACCACTACTTTTTGTTATAGTAGAAAGTTATTTTTATTGAACTAAAAATATATATATATAATTTTTGTTAGCTGTATATGTAAATATACTAATCACATTAAATTAATACCAATTAAAATGATTTCTTTCAGATCATCGAATTCTTGAATGACATGACCCAAACTGGCAATCTTACAGTTTCCCCAATTTTGACAACCAATTTGCCGCCATCTTCGCTGCATTCGTTTAAAAGGATTTTGAACGTCACAGACATGCCAGAATTGTTGTTGGTGGACCATAGAGAAACATTCACGAATATGTATTATGAATCTGCGCTGGATGTGTCTGATACCATAGATTATGTTTACCATAATCTAACTGTTGGGAGTGGGGGAGAATGTGAGTTATTAGAAGTCAGATAAACACCAAGTTGAAGACAGGTGATGAGGCAGGTAGTGGTGAACCCCAAAAAGTTAGTAAAACAACGCGATGTTGGCAAGGGACATAAAAAGATGGCGCAATTAGTCCAAATTCTGATAACAATTTGATTTTTTTATAGAACGGAAAACAAACGGCCCGAAGGATTTGTGCCATCTTTTTTGACGTGACAATGTCTAATGATTCGAGGAACGACGGCTGCACGCACGTTAAAGCATGACTCATTTTCCCGTTACGCTCATTGTCCCGCTACGCTCATTGTCCCGTTACGCTCAGTGTACGCTTACGCTGCATCTATCTCTCTTCCACTCGATTGGCATATGCGTCCGAGGATTCACTCCTTCTGTGTATCCATGTAAATAGTGATAATTCAATAGAAATGATTCAATTTTATTCAAAAAAGTATGAAATCATTTCATCAATGTTTTGTTATGACGTTGTCACGTTTAACTATCGACCGTAAACCGACTTTAGACATTACCATTTTTTTCTGGCGTTAACTAATACCTGCCCTATCACCAGATTTCGGCCTTGACGTTGTTTTAAGGGACTTTTGAATATAATTAAAAAAAAAAACTTTTATAAGTTTACAATATTTTTGAAGTGAAACTTCTTTAGGCGCATGAGGGTAATTTTTTACGGATACGTCACGTCACGTGGAGCGTTTTAGTCGAAGAAAAGCGAGAGGGAGATTGAGACAGATTGAGAGAGAGTTAGAAGGGCGAATTACCTTATAGAAATCCTATTTTTAAAAATAAAATTTCGTAAGGAGAATTTATGAAATATTAGTATTTTATATTTTTGCAAAATAATTTATTGAAATCTCAAATGACGAATTGTAAATTAAAATGCCACGTGTTTTTATTATCGAAGAAATAATTTTAATTAAATTACACTATAATTTGTATTAATTATCGACATTTTAATATGTTCCTTTTTCCCTACCTCTAAGTCTCGGAATTTCTTAGATTTGTATAAATATGAACAAGAGTTAAAAATTAGTTTGCCAAAGTAGTTTCACTTCTTACATGTGTACTTTGTACGCACGCACTTTTTTTAATTGATATGAAGACGAGGTCTCGTTTTTAAACCCTTTAGATTAACGATATTAATTTATCAAGACACAATAACCCTAACTTTGGGAGTTGGATATGTTTCAACACCCTGTATAAACACATCCCACATAACGTAGGGCAAATCTCAATAGAATTTGGAAAGTATTTTTACAAGTTTTTTTTTTAGTTATACCAACATCGGAGCTATTGTCCAAAGGCAATATGACAGATAAGGAACCGCAAGTTAAAATATCGCGTATTGCGAATGCGCTCGCGCAGACCCTTTATAAGAGAGTCACGGGGAAACCGTTTGTGGGTGTCGTTGATACATCAGCACATATGGTAAGAATAAATAAGTGGCGTTACAACATTTTTAGGTCTGGGCCTCAGATTTCTGTCTCTGTTGTTTGTAACGGGCAGAAGACTTATCTGGTGTTAAGTGATACTGCCCATGGACACGCACATTGGCAGAAGGCCGGCCTTTTAAGAATTGGTAGGCTCTTTTCTTGAAGGACCCTAAGTCGAATTGGTTCGGAAATCCTTCAGTGGGCAGCTGGTTCCACATAGTGTACGGCAAAAACTGCCTTAAAAAACGCTCAGTTGTGGAACGACGGACGTCGAGGTGATACGGGTGGAATTTCGTATTCTGCCTCGACGTCCGATGATGAAACTCAGCTGCAGGTATTAATCCGAACAACTCCTCTGAACACTCTCCATGGTAAATGCGGTAGAAGATGCAGAGAGATCCCACATCTCTACGCAACGCCAAGGGATCAAGCCGCACGGAAAGTGACTGGTGTTTAGTAATATAAACGCCCATTTATATATTGCCAGAGGACTCGCAAGTGCGTTGCCGGCCTAATTAATTATTACTGTCGTAATGTTTCAGGTAGATGAAATGTTACAATGCTTTTTGGAAACTTCGTCTTGTCGGTTGCTTCAAGCAGCGGATTTTATGAGTGCAGATCAGAATAAGGCAGATGGCCCCGCCTCTTTGTACGTGGGCGTGGCCACGTGGGCGAGTACGCCGGCCGTATACGCGGGACATTTACTGGCGCTACTGACTGGAGTGCATTTGGATAATAATAAGACTGTGTGCGATGAGCTCAGTGAACCTGTAAGTTGAATTATAGTTGAAAAGTTGTGCACGACAGTAGGAAAAATAGTTTTTTTTTTTTTAGGAAAAATAGAGTAATCTGTATTAATCATGGCTTTCGAAAGCGTTATGGAGTAAAATAATTTATTTATTTACACTTCGTTACATTATACAAAAACATACATATAAAAAAGCAGGTTACTTAAGTTATTAGGCAACGGGCGGCCTTATCAATAGCGATTTCGATTGCGAACCCTAATAAGGAACAATAAAAAAAGAAATACCTACACAAGGAGTGCATAAATAATTAACAGAAACTCCAACTCTAAATACCATACAACAATACTTATAACTAAAATAAAGTAAAATCTAAAGAAAAAGCAAAAAACAAATAAATAAACAATAATATCTAAAAGCTAATCCAAGGGTTTATTGTCACAATTAATATACTGGATGCATTGATATACAAAAAACCCAAGATGCACAGTCTCGAATAAAAGTAACGCTCGAAAGTGTCCCGAAACACTATTTCTGTCTCTTTCTATAAGTTACAAGCATATATTATTGCAAAATCAACCTTACGCGAATTGCTTAAAGTTGTTATTACAACGCAGTGTATACGTACTTAAAGCAATAAAATTTTACGACCGACCGTGGTCGGTAGGACAAGGTATTGAGTGGAGTCGAACATGACTTTTTTATTTACAACTATTTAACATAATTTTAAATTTATCCGACTTTTCGGGTGCTTTACAGCGTGAGTGGTCACGGTGACTGAAGACAAAAGGTGTTGGATGTTAAATAGTTGTAAATTTATAATAATACATAACATTAATCCGGTTAAAAAGTTTTTTCTTTAAATTAAAAAAAAATGTTAAATTGGCTACCTCCTGACCCACACTTTATATAGCGTAAATATATTTGTCAAAAACTACACACAAAAAAAGTTCAAGAGTACATAAATTTATTTATAAATAAATAACATCGACTCCACTTATAGACGCGAGACTATTTGAAATGAGCGCACAATTTAGAATGTTGCGCTCATTTTTCGAGGACGTTTTTTAGACGTTGATTGTGCATCTTGGGTTTTTGTATATCAATGACTGGATGGCGCAAAAGTAAAGACCCTATTTGGTTCAGCTATAACATTTTTTCTAAATTAGAAAACTAGATTTAAGTTTTTTTAATGTATATTTGTGCCATTAAACTTCGTACCATTAGGATTTAAAGATGATGTTTTATGGTGACCTCCAGAGTTGATGCACATTTGAGCCCTATTTATGACATTTTGCATAACTTGCCGTAATACTTCCTGCGATATGTTCCGTATTTCTTGCTGAATGTTTTCTTTTAGAGCCGCGAGAGTTTGTGGCTTGTTCACATACACCCGAGATTTCAAATAACCCCAAAGAAAGAAGTCAGCCCTGCGATTCTGTAACTCACTTTTCGAACTCACACAGCGGTTTTCGCATCGGCAGTCGCTCTGAAATCAGTCGTGAAGCAGTCATTTTATGATTTGGCATTCTGAAAAGGTGGGAGCTTGTAGTTTATTGTTTATTAGAATGCCAAATCATAAAATGACTGCTTCACGACTGATTTCAGAGCGACCGTCGATGCGAAAACCGCTGTGTGAGTTCGAAAAGTGAGTTACAGAATCGCAGGGCTGGACTCGTCAGATCGGGTGATCTTGCTGGAAATCGTCGACGAAATTCACGTTGTGTTTTTATCACTGATGAATTATTCCGTAAGAACATTGACACGATTATTCCACGTTCTTGGGGAGTAAAACGGTCCATGTTTATTTTCAGTGTATTTTACATTTGTTCACTACACAATTTTCAACAACAGAATGAAAACTATCGTTATATAAAAAAAATAAACAAATTTTCTTTAGTGCCAGAACCTTTGCGCGCCACCCAGTATATAAGTAGTAGCTAATTACGAGGCAGAAGAAATATGATCAAAAAGAAGATTTTTAAATAAATATCATTAATTATCAAAAAAATCATTTTTGTGCATCTGTCACGTGACACAAATGGTCACAGATTAGTCGATTGACAATGCTTCTTAATGTCTTCGGCTGTCGGAGACTGCTTTTGATCGACATACAATATGTGTAATTAAAAAATGTTAATTAACCCATTCTTCTTTCAGGGTTTCTCATATTATTATTTAAGAGGATGGAACAATACTGGTGTTTGCATTCAAACTACGATGAATTTCAGCCAAGCTGTCAGCCCTGCTTTTATAAAAACAGGTAATATTTAAAAAAGGATTGTGTGGTTTTATGAAACCACGGTAAAAGTGGAACTTTTTTTCCACTATAGACATTTAACTAAACATTTTTGGAATAATATTCCATTAAGGGTATAAAAATCGCTTTATCAATCTTAATTTTATACTTGGAAAATTGGAATCATAATGGGAAATAATAAAAGTAGACTAAGTCTCCAACGAATATTTTTATTGAACTCTGTGTCTTAGAGAGTACGACATACATAATACTTTAAAATTATTTAGATTATATACACATACCTATTAAATAATAGTCTATACACTACACGGTCAGCTGCTACGAACTATAGGCGCCGCCATATTTGCCTTGGCTGCTATGACGAGCGCCTTTCACTTTATCCCTACTCCGCGGCCGACCGTCACGCGACATGCAACACACGGACGAAAAAGTTTAAGACGATGTAATAAAAGTTTCACTTTAAAAACGTGTGTGTACTTATGTACACGCGTTAGAAGTTATACTTCTTTGGCGTTATAATTTTCTTCGAGTTCTTTTTCGTTTCCCACTTCGAATTGTTTTTCTTGGCCATTTTAATGGTCACTTCCAATCGAAACGATATAATATGTACTAATCATGATATTATACAGTAAACACTATGTTTTTTATCACATTGGAACGGGTTTTCTCATATAGAAATCATTATTTTGGTTTAAAAAAACACTACGCCATGACAGACAATGCAACTTGTCGATAAAACAGAGCAAGCGCCAACTAGCGGCCCAGACTGTTTTACCGACGTTTGATTTGACCAAAAATTTACTCTCATCATCTTTCCCTATCGCGCCAAAAGAAGTATAACTTCAAAACTACACAACTGTTTAATGCTTTTGCTGGTTCTTACTCTTACAATCATGATAATGTCAGACCCTGAAGCGTGCTATCAAAGTACTTCTGCCAACGATTTCATGATCTTATTGAATTTCCCCGTACTAGACTATCTAAAGTTACTAATTCTTTTTCTCTTCTTTAATAAAATCAGAGATCTCTGCTTTTTAATAAATTTAAGAAATGTATTAAAGAAAAGCTGTGTAAAAAGGCTTACTATAAAGTCAACGATTATCTAGTTGATAAAAGGGCCTGGGACTAGTGCTAGACAGAGACAGGCTACTTCTAATTAATACTTAATATAAATACGATATTTGTTTAAAAATAAGTGTTGTTTGATGATTTTCTATTTTAAAAGAGTACCGAGAGTTTATTACGCCAACTTTTTCTCTCAGCCTACACCCTCTGTCTTCTTTGCCGATGAGTAGGGATGTCTACAAATTATAATTTAATGACGTGGAATAAGTGATACATGTATCTTATGTTCCATAATAAAAATATTTTATTTTTTAAAAAGGTTTACTAAACCTGGAATTAGTAGACAGTGATGCCAGCTAAGTAATAAAATAAAGAAATTAAAGTTAAATCGATATATTGTTTGTGATATTTAAATATTTTTTGTTATTTCTGTATTAGGTCACTTGATTAAGTAAAAATTTAGATTTATCATTTCGTAGATAGAACATAAAAAATACGTCGCATTTTATTTTATATTGCCTTCAAATGGGTCAAATTTTAGTAGCAACACTTAAGAAATGTCAGAATTTTACGGAATTAAAAATCAAACTATAATCCCTTCGATGTCGTTGTAACAGATTTTGACATACATTACTCTTTCAGATTATGATTTTACGTCTAACGAATTCTCGACATGGACGGAGTCAGTCTGGCAAACAATGTGGGCGCGCGTGTTTGTCACGGCTGGTGGGAGTGGTGCCAAACTTGCGGGCATAACTGGGGCAATGGCCACGATTATCGCCGCATTTATCACATATTGGCTTTCCGTTAATTCGGCTGTGGTTTTCGCCTCATCAATAGATGCACCTAATCCGTAAGTATTGAAATTCTCAAAAACACACGAAGACGCTGTTCAAGTACTAGAGAACGTTGAGTGTCACCGTAACGTCAAATAGCGGTGCTGTCATTTGCATGACGGCCGTCATAGCGATGTTAAACATTAGTTCGCGTGTAGCGGTGCCCATATTTAATGAATGTAATGAGTGGAAACGTGACTTGGATGAGCGAAAATTATTGTTTTTTTGCATTATGTTAAAAAGTAAAGAGATCATGAAATCCACAGACTTGAGTACTGGTATCAAAAGGAAGGTCTTCAATACCTGCATTCTCCCATGTATTACATATGGGTCTGAAACTTGGGCTCTCACAAAACATCACAGAAACATGCTGGAACACTGCCAAAGAGCTATGGAACGAAGTATGATAGGTATTAAGAAACAAGATAAGATACGAAACACTGTCATAAGAAGTAAGACAAACGTCACAGACATACTCACTAGAATAGATAGCTTGAAGTGGAGATGGACTGGGCACATGATACGTGATAAACAAGAAAAGTGGAGCAACATCATAACTGACTGGTACCCTAGAGATGGGAAAAGGAACAGAGGAAGACAAAGCAAGAGATGGGAAGACGAATTAAAATTAACAGCAGGCTCAAAATGGAGAAGGGTTGCAAGAGACAGAGTACAATGGAAATTGTTAGAGGAGGCCTTTGCCAAGAGGCACACTGAACTTAGAGATAAGAGTCAACTAAAAGTCCAAGAAACAGTTCAGGATAAGAGGCTTATTATTAAAAAGTAAAGACGACCGTTATTAACAAATGTGCAAATGACAGCACCGCTATTTGATGTTACGGTGACACTCCACGTTCTCTAGAAAACCTACTCCGATGTTATTTATAGACAACGTATGGGTGACGTCACCCAACGCTTAATTACGGCCGTTAGATAACGGCAGCGCTTTTCTAGGAAACCGTAGCTTAAGCTTAACGAAAGAACAGGGACCACGCCTTTGATTTTCCAATTTAGTGATTACGTCAACCGTAATTATTTACTTTTTTACACAAATTACCCACACATTGTCTATGCTATAAAACGAAATGCATTTTCGACGATTTCTACAAAAATGAATACGTTTATGTGTGTATTTTTGAGAAATTTGCTCACTTTTGAGGGGGGTATGGGGATAAATTGCAGAAATCTGCTTACGCACTTAATACTTGAACGACCCCAAATGTTTTGAAACCGCTTTCAAATTCAAAATCATTTATTCATATAGGTAACACGATGTACACTTATGAACGTCTAAAAAGAAATATATATTAAATGCTTCTAATTTTACGTTTTCTGCCAGTTTTCAAATCAGGCGTAGAACGGAAGAGAAGAACTGGCAATAAACTCTCCGCCACTCTTTTGAATCGCCAAGTTTTTTGTTTTACACAATGTAAGGAACTGCAACCATTACATCATGTTCCACATGACATCTTAAGTAATTAATAATAATAAAATAAATTAAAAACAAAGATTTGTCCTCTATCAGCAGGAGGCATGGTGAAATAGGAGCACGCACTTACATTCTCGTGGGAACAACACGCAAATATATAGTCGAAATCTTTAATAATCTTGAAATAAATAACGTGTCACGTTGTTTGTCCGCTATGGACTCCTAAACTACTTAACCGATTTCAATCAAATTTGTATACCGTGTGTAGTTTGATCTAACTTAAAAGATAGGATAGCTTACATCTCAATGTATACCCGAAATATTATTTTATTGCAAAATATTTGTTTATTATTTGATAGTCACGATTCTAACAGATGGCGCTGTGTTGAAAGTACCAACGTTTCACATAAGCTACAATTTAATGGCATTACCACCAAAAAAGCATGGTAGTCCCCACGACTGGTGTTCTCCTACCGTTTCCCTTGAATAGGTTACTACTATGTAATATAACTAAAACCTTAGCCACAGCAACGCTTGGCCGGTCTGCTATATATTATATAATTTAAAGTGTACACACTTTATGATGCTTCCTATCTCGTTTTGTCCCACGTTTAATCTTATGAATTTATGTGTCTGTCTCTTATTATTGTCGCTTTTTCATTTCAAATCACAACGATGTTAAAGAAGTTTTCACTTCAAAATAGGTACATTTTTACCATTTTTTTATTTAAATATTATTTATTTGTTTCAGAATCCTGCGGACGGTGAGATGTTAGAAATAGTTTATAGTTGAAATAACATTCCGTTGCCCAATGTATCAAATCAAATTAATTCGACTAAAGTATTAATGATCTCTGAGATTTATGAACATTAAATTATTTACAACAAACTTGTTTATTTGGTAACAACCCCTTATACTTAGATTTGTTCTGTGAACTAAGCGTTCCACAACAGCCTTGCGATTCTGCAACTCACTTTTCGAACTCACACAGCGGTTTTCACAGCGGCGGTCGCGCTCAAATCAGTCGTAAAGCAGTCATTTTACGATTTGGCATTCGTGAGTTACAGATCGCAAGACTGAGCGATTTTAAGGCAGTTTTTGCCGTACACTATGTGGAACCAGCCAAGAAAGAGCGTACCAATTCTTAAAAGACCGGCAACGCACTTGCGAGCCTTCTGGTAGTGTGAGTGTCCATGGGCGGCGGAGGTGGCCAAGGACTTCCCTAGAGCGACCCCGGAGCCTCTGTAACGCGGCTTTGGGAGCGTTCAAGTATTACGTAACGCAATTTTTGGAGATTATTGAAACCAATCAACTCGCCGTAACTTATTTCAGTACCCAAGTCTAGTAAAACGTTTCTTGACCACCTAGTGACTCTTTAGTTACTATTATGTGGTGTAAGTAGAAAATAATATTAACAATAACGCTTAATTCAATCCCCGCCCCGCATCGTAACGTTTTACAAAAGGAAAAAATTCGTTACGTAATACTTGAACGCTCTCTTTGTAGGAACCACTCGAGGTGGTTTCAATAGGTTAATACCCAGTCTCAGAATATCAGAGATTCTGGTGTGGGTCAAGTACCACATACGCCTGTAACTTTTTGGGGCTCTGCGCAAATGCATCCACCTTGGATATAAAAAAAAGGTCTCCATGGGCTGCGGTAAACAATTTTAAGTGACCCTGCTCATTTGTCTGAACATTATTAAGATAAAAACACAAAGGCATATCAGTTTTTATTCATATAGGGCAGGGAATAACAGCATTTAAAAACGTCTTTCCCAGGTCCTTTAGTACCGTTTTCAGGAAAACGAAGCTGTTCAGTGGCTCAACAAACGTATTTATGTAGTCCAAAGCGGGGTCTAGATTTAACATGTCGTCAAAATATCTGAAATTCAGAATGTATGCCGAAGAATCAAGTTTATTATAGCCACAGAGAGTCGCTTTCCATAAACTATAGTTGAAAACCAAAGGGAATTTTATAATCTGTAGTATTGAATCTTGTATGGGGTCGGTATTTATTTCTACGGATGTTGTATATATTGAGTCTTGTCTATGGTCTGTACTGATTCCAATAGAAGTTTTATCCAATGAATCTTGGATAGAGTCCGTATTGATTCCAACGGAGGTTGCATATATCGAATTTTGTCTATAGTCTGTACTGATTCCAATGGAAGATGTATCTAACAAATCTTGTCTATAGACCGAACTGATTCCAATAGAAATTGTATCTATTGAGTGTCTATGGTCTGTACCGATTCCAAGGGAACTTGTATATATCGAATCTTGTCTATGGTCTGTACTGATTCCAATGGAAGATGTATCTTTTGAATCTTGTCTGTTATCTGAGCTGATTCTAACGGAAGTTGGATATAACGAATCTTGTTTATGGTCCGTACTGATTCCAACAGAATTTGTATCTTTTAAATATTGTCTATAAACTGTACTACATTCAATGGGAGTAGTAAATATCGAATCTTGTTTATGGTCTGTAATGATTCTAACGGAATTTAAACCTACTAATTTTTTTCGAATATCAGCACTGTATTCTTTGGAAGTTATTCTTATTGAATATTGTCTCACTCCAGTATTGAATCCAATGGGATATATATCTTGAGATTTTTGTACCATTGGTTTATAATTGCAAGCAATTTTAACACAAATATCTCTAGGAAAATCCTTGTAGCTACCGAGTAGTTTCACAGCATCGCACATACCATTAACTGCACTAGAAAAATATGGCTTCATGCGCAATATCATAATCTGTGTTAGAATATTAGTGGTAAATTTACGTTCATTCTCCTGCAGCAGTAGATTGAAGCGATGCATATAAAAGATGTAATACGCTGTCAAATTGACTTTTGGAACAATCGCCTTACAGTGTGGAATCATAACGCGATTATTTGTCTTTTCCATCATATATTTCCATTCAGAAACTCTTCTTATCAACGATATACATTCTATTTCAAACTCTAGAGCGTTTAAATATACCTCAATTAAGTTCAGCATTGCGTAATTTGAAGTTTCGTCAATGGCTTCGACAATTTGAGACGATACGACAGCTAAATTATCGCCACAATCCATTTTTTTTCTTTTTAAATTATATTACATTGTAGAATCGAAGGAATTCCTAAAGATTTAATAGGTGCAATGGACTTTTCGAATAAATAAATTTACATTTCAGTATTTTTTAGCCAATATGCCAATGACTTAAAATGTAATATTTTTGAAAGAAAAAAGAGGCTATAGAATAGGCATAAACAATCAAAAATATTGGACTAGCATAGCAATAGAAGCATCTGTGGTTTTCGATAGTATATTTTTTACGAATATGACACATCGTATTATACGTTTTATATTTTATATCTATGTAATTGTAAATTTAATAGAGTCTGGCTGATGAAAGAAGATAACGAAAAACCGCGGCAAATTCAAAAAAATGTAGTATGGTATCCCTGAAACTTTGATATATTTTGTTTATTAAACTTTAAAACATTATTAATGACAGATACAGATTATATATACCTTAGTCCTTAGCAATGAAAAATGTAAGTGAAATCCAAGTAAGGAATTAAAAGAACGTACCTTAAAAAACATAATTTCTCTGAATAATCTTAAACGAAGTAATGAACTAAAGCCGCATCCACACCGGACGATCCATCGCGCTCCGATCGCGCGCGGCTTTAGCGCGATCCAAATGAGCAGGCGGTGTGGACCAGCCGCGCGCGATGCAAAATTAGCTTCAGCTCTATCACCCATAACTCTTTGTAAAGCCGAGTCCCATATTCCAACCGGTTTTTAATAATTCTTTTCGTTTTCGTAATTTTTGTCGTAAATATATAAGTAAAATGTAGCTTGTTGCTGCTACGGCTAATTTTGTCGCGGTCATTGCACATGTGACTCCATAGCCAGACAAAGTTCATCTGATTCAGTATGGATCGGCAGGAGCGTGATGGATTAGCTAGTCAAGATCGCAAAAGATTGCTGTTGGATCGGCCTATGACGATTCACGCTCCACGCATCACGATCACGATCTTGGATCGCGGATCGCGGGATCGCTGATCCATTTTGGATCATCCGGTGTGGATGCGGCTTATGAAACTCAATTTAAATGTAGAATATTTAAAATATACTTCTGTCAGTCTCTACGTTTTATTAATTTATTGATTGTAAGAATCAATAGAAGAGGCCATAGGGTAATTCAAACTCTCGATAAGTCTTGAGATAGAACCCTAACTATAGTCCTTTTCATGAAAGAAGTCCCTCAGACGCAGCGCTGTACTCGCGTGACATAATGTTGCCATTTATAAGTAAAAAACTTACCTATTTTAGTGATTAAATTTTGCTTCTATAATGTGAGGGAGTTCATCGATTATAAAGTTTGAAATACGAACATAGAATATGGCATACTAAATAACTGAATTGCTATTAATTTTAATTACAAATTTGCATACTGCACATCATAACATGTACCACTTAAAAGGCAAAAAAGGATTGTACTAAAGCAAAGAAAAAAAATAACAAATGAAGGTGTTATAATATATTGGTCTTTTATTATTAACCGCCATTTTAATAGGTAAAAATGAGATAGCACAATGTTAGTCTTGACTTAGTATACGTGTGATGGCAGTAGTCTTGTGCTTTTGTCGGCCTGTATCGATAAAAAGAATGTCGATTGGAAAACTTATTTTTTTATCAAGCATTAATGCTTAGATTAGAGTTTTTATTTCATTATTACATGACAAACATTTACAAAAAAGTTATAAAACATCTAGCTAAACATTTTATAATTATTTAATAATAATAATAATGTCCTATTAAGAATATATCAAGTATAAAATAATATGATATATCTATTATATCTAATTTATCTATTATTATCTTTCTTGCAAATAAATGAACTATTTATTTACTAATATCTATATTTATGTGGTAATAAATATATTAATGCATCATTTATTAAACTTACCAATAAAACTTATGAATAAATTAAAATATATAATTAAATATGTTAAATAATATATGCAGGGTACCTACTACCTACTTACCTTGCTTGCATACCTACACATAGTCAACTAATATGGATAAGAGAAATACAACTAATTGTATTGCAATACAACATTTATTCGTCTTTTCTTTTGCATTTACTGTAACTAAATGCACAAAAAATATATTTTATAATAATACAGGTTAAATTGACGATGTTAATATCAGTATATATTGTCAATGTCGAGTTTTAATTATAGCCGATTTAAGCGAATAGGTTATTAATTCGGTGTGAAATATTTTTTAAATCAGGATTTTAGTTTTGTAACCATCAAAAATCTAAACACAATACATTATTAATAACATTTAAGTTACCAATTCTCAGAACCGAAAATTGAATGAGAATTTATTTCATTACATTAGGTCAAAACTACTTTGACAATGACAGCATTCCTAGAGCACATCGTTTTATTTATATAATCATCCAACATAGTTACATCACTAGTAGGCAATAAAAAATGCAAACTGCAATCGAGTCACAATGACTTTTCTTTATAAAGCAAAACGCGTTTGCCTGCCGCTCAGTTCACCGGTGATACAGCGTTTTGAAATTAGACATAAAATACGCCCTCTTTATCATTGTTATTCCATATCTCATCAAGAGCTGACGGATAAGATGCCTACCGAAAAAACGTTGCCACAAATATTTAAATATGTTGATCAAAACACAGAATCTTACAAGAAATTACTGAAAGAGGCTGTAGCAATTCCATCTGTGTCTTGTGATGCAAAATATCGGGATGATTGTGTTCGAATGGTTCAATGGACTCAAGAAAAGTTGAGAGAAGTTGGTGCCAGCACCGAGCTGCGCGATATTGGTTTCCAAAATATGGAAGGTAAAGAAATTAAATTACCGCCCGTTCTTGTTGGGACTTTGGGAAATGTAAGTACATCATTTAATTTTTATCTTGAATTTCCATTATGTTAATAATGCAAGATTAGTTTACAATACCATAGTGCAAAAACAATTTAAAAAAGAGTAAAATCGTAATTATCTACAGTAAAATTGTATTTTTGATTAAATATATCTCAAGACTAAACTATCACGATAAATAATATTCGGTTATCAATTGCAATCGTAATTTACTTTTTATATTAAGAATTAGGTTTTGATTATGTTAAATAGATATGGTCATTACCCAATCTTGGTTTTGTTTTTGGATAAACACACATGAAGGTTATACCACTAACATTTACTAATACAAAGCTATTTAAGCTGTTTCTTTTTTTTAAAGAATGTTATTCCTATTATCAACAATACATCCCAGATATCAATTAATGGAATCCAGAATAATCTATGGCTTGTTCAGTTAGTCTCATCAGATGAAGTTATTAAACAGCCCGAGCGGAAAACATAAGTTAAAGGGACATTAATATGTACAATTCTGTATGAAGGGACGTAGAATCATTTATAGACTTTTTAAATCATTTATTTTCACTTCAGATTGTTCTAGCTTCTTTTTATAATATGTAATTTCTTAAGATTTATCTGATTTGTTTTGTAAAATCCTTAATACTGCTGGTTTTATCTTATAAAATTTCTTATTATTTAAACAGGACCCTAAGAAGAATACAATCTGTATATATGGACACTTGGATGTACAACCTGCCTTAAAATCTGATGGATGGGATTCTGAACCTTTTGAACTAGTTGAGAGAAATGGAAAGCTGTTTGGGCGTGGTTCTACAGATGATAAAGGGCCAGTTTTGGGATGGCTGCATGCTATTAATGCTATCAAAGGTGTTGGAGAAGAGGTAAGAGAAAATTGAATGCTAAACTTATGTAAGCTTCCCTCTAAGCCATTCTATGCTTAATTACAATACATTGGAATCAAGAAAACAGCCTTTTGGCAGTGTTCGATAGCCATCTGATCTATTTTTTAAAATGCTACATACTGTGGGCCTCTGATTTTTTATCTGTTTTGTGTTCATTTTTTTCTAATAGGCAAGTAGTTGATCAGCCTTCTAACAGGCCTAACACACCCTATTGAAGTTTTACAATTAGCCATGCCGGTTTCCCTACAATACTTTCCTTCACCATACCGAGTATTAGCGCACATAAGTTCATTGGTGCAGACAGGGAAAAAATCTATAATCTCAGGAATGGAACCACATCACTAGCCCAACAAAGGTTGAGCTTAATCAATATAATTTAATTATAATATTTATTTTTGCATACAATTTATGAGTATTTAATGTATATCTATGAATTATACATTAAGGGTCTGTTTCACAATGTATGGATAAAGTACCAAATAGCTATGCAACACATACATTATTTGGAAGATAAATTGTTCTATTTGACATTCATCGGACTCATAACTTATGATGGACTTTATGTGACGGATAGCGCTATCTGACAGTCGTGAAACGCAACAATATTGTTTATCCTACCAATAAGTAATAAATAGCTAATTTGGAACTTATGTAGAACTTATCCGTACATTGTGAAACAGACCCTAAATGACATAAGTGGTAGGCTTACTTTCTATATAAAATTGCAAAATCAAGTTATTTACTACATAAAATTGGTGTTAGATAATAATGCGATGTTTGAGTATTGCATATATTATAAGTTGGTTTACAGAAATGCCCTGCTGATTAAATGTAATTAAAACAAATGTTTACCGTAACAATTGAATCATGATAGTGGAATTCTATTTGTTTTTCGTATTATTTATTTGACCTGAATTTACAAATAAATTCTAATATTGAGTCATGTAACAATTACATGATTCAAAAATGTGTTGCGTAGCAGATTGAAGTTTATATGTGTTTTCAAATCTCTTACACATTATTATGAATTGTTGTCAACTTAATAAACACATTTTTTATTTATGAACATAAATTAAGTGTTAATGAAATTTTTTTTTCTAATTATTTGTTGTTAAATATAGGCATATTATTTTGTCCAGTTTAATTAGTCCTGTCAAACTTGGATCCTTTAACTTTCTTTATAACTAGTAATTAAAACCCAACCGAATGAAACTAGAAACAAGATTTAGCATCAACTGTGGGAGTTACCCTTAGTTAGTTTGCTTACCCATAGACTAATCAAATTTTCAACTTGAATTAAATAGTAAATATCAATGTGTATAAGTTGCATGCTAAAATAAATAAATAATAATTATATGTTTCATTTTCAAAAAAATTATATTAGGGATGCTTATTAAAACTTGAATAATCTAACCCAAGGTGTAAAAAAATAAACAAAAACTTCCTTCAATCGCGTGCGCTGCGAAAACTATTAATGATAGAACAAAATGATGTAGTACAATTTTTCAGGACACATCACTATCTATAAAAAATGTCGCGACAGCATGTCTCTATCTTTTATAGTTACGTCACAATAAGCTTCCTTTTATTATTATTTTTTTATTAAAATACCACCGCTAGAAAAGGCTCTTTATTCGTACCTAGGTATTGATCCTTATCAAAATAAATATCAACGTTTCACTTAAGCTACAATTTAATGGCATAACCACCAAAAAATTGTACGGCGTTTATCCGTAAACGCCTTACATATTTCCAGCGGAGCGGTCGAAAGCCAAGGGTCGCAACATGAGAGAGTTCTTCACAAATAGGTAACATTTTCCAGCATGCCGTACATTTTTTGTGGAACACATAGGTGTATGGGGTAAATTACTTCCCTCCGAAAAAGAGTCATTTTCCGGTGACTTTTAACTGTACGGCAATAACACAGGTTATTAATACTTTAGACAATCTTCAATAAAAGATAAATGCCGTACACTTTCGATAGTCCGCTAGTCTGTGAAATGGCAGATTATACCACCGCCTACCAATACAGGGCGTCCCAAAGTTATGGGATATGAAGGGGAAGTACCTTAAATATCGTAGATAGGGTATTTTACTAAAAGAAGACTTTATGTTATTTTTAAAAGTTAGTAATTCTGCATTCAAAGATTTTCTAAAAATTACTTGCCTCGTCTGGGAATCGAACCGACTTTGATGTAAAAAAAAACCCCTACTTTTATGATGCCAATCGAAAGAATGGCCAAAAACTAATAACTCTTCTTAAGTAACATAGTATTTTAAAAGAAAGGAACTGCGTGAATATATCTTTTTAATCAAATTAAAAACATTATCTATCGTATTCGGCCTAAAAAAATCCACTACTAGTCTGTTAATTTAGAAAAGTTATTAGGTTTTGGCCATTCTTTCGATTGGTATCATAAAAGTAGGGGTGTTTTTTTTACATTTAAGCCGGTTCGATTTCCAGACGTGGCTAGTAATTTTTTCAAAATCTTTTAATGCAGAATTACTAACTTTTAAAAATAACGTAAAGTCTTCTTTCAGTAAAATACCCTATCTACGATATTAAAGGTACTTTCCCTTCATGTCCCATAACTTTGGGACGCCCTGTATTATATTTTTATTTTTGTTAAAAAATACTTTTCATTTACCTCTCTCTGCTCGTACGATAAGGCTGTAAATATACTTTACAGCCTTATGGTAGTATACTCAGATACGTACAGTTATTAATGACCTTAAGGGACACCTCAAACGTCGTCGAAGTTTTTATCAGCTGTAAAGAATAATCTGGAGCAAAATGTACGGCATCTGGTTTTTTTTGTTTATTTATATTTGTTACATATAAAATAACAATAATCTTTGAAAATATTACTCCCCATATTACTCTAGGAGCATTTGAAAAGTCATCTAAATTTCGGAAATTTCATATATTTTTTATCATAATATTTTTATTTGTTACCATTTATAATGAACGGCTATAAGGTACAACGGTAACATTTAGTAACATTATGTAAAAAAACAAGTTGCCGTACATTATTCTTTGATCTTACAGCAGTAATAACTCGGTAAATCCTGAAATTTCGATAAATATTTATTTACACAAATATTAACTATAATTTTTGGACGGCATAATTATAAAACATTATTGTCCGTGTTAAATAATATTTTGAACATGTTGCCGTACATTTTACAATGACCTTAGGGTATATGGGTGTAGGGGTAGGGTTCCGACCCTTGGCTTTCGACCGCTCCGCTGGAAATATGTACGGCGTTTACGGGTAAAGTATCTGTATATGTGTCCAAAAGGAATCACACAAATGCCGTACAGTAATAAATGACCTATATTGCTTCTGCAACTGTCGTCGAATTAAAAATTTGCACCGACTTCCGGCACCATCACTTTAGTACGGCACTAGGTTTTTCGACATTTATTTTTAATCATCTATACTTATAACAAAGCCGTACATTAATAATTAGTCGAAATTCCCCAATTGTACCTGAGAAAGTCCATTCACTCACGTACTCACATGTACCGCTCAGAAATGACGGCATAGTGCTCAGAGCTATTTTCAGATATAGTAACAGCCTTCTAAGCGTAATTCACGTTGGGTCATTTCACAGGTATTTTTTGTTCATGGGCTTGTGGTCTATAAGTACACACACGTTTTTTTAAAAACACCATCATCTGAACATTGACATCCAGAAGCTGAGTTTCAATTTCCTTTGCAGCTACCGGTGAACCTAAAGTTTGTATTTGAATGTATGGAAGAATCTGGTTCGGAAGGTCTTGATGAGTTGCTAATGGACAAGCTGAAGCCCGAAGGTTTCTTTGATTCCGTGGACTATGTGTGCATATCTGATAATTATTGGCTGGGGACCACAAAACCATGCATTACATATGGTCTACGTGGAATCAGTTATTACTTTTTGGAAGTTGAGTGCGCGAAGATGGATTTACACAGTGGTGTCTATGGTGGAACAGTACATGAAGGTAATGATTTTTTTTTTTTTTTTATATTCTGGATGAGATTTGTGGTGGTAAGGCCCATTGCGCCATTTATTATTATTTTTTTAAATCCTGCCGTTTATGTTTCATATAAAACGTATTTATACAGACTAAAATAAATTGTTTACTTTACGCTATTCTTTTATATCTGTTGTTTTCTTCTCTTCTGGAAGAGATAAGGTCCTGCACCATTTATTATTATTTTTAATAAGCCTGCCGTTTGCTTTCCCTCTCATAAAAAATATGTATTTTTACAGGGTAAAATGAATTGTTTAGATTACACGCTATTGCCTAACTAATTATTTTTTTCTTCTCTTCTAGAAGATTTGTGGTTTGCACCATTGCACCATTTTTTGCAGTACATTAGAAAATAAAGATCTCCATAAAAATACCATATCACAAATTTTAAAATTCTGTAATCACTGGTATTTTGGGTTCAATAAGGCACAAGGCACTATAGTCGTGTCACCCATGACCCTCCCCTCTTCATATTTTTATATGGGTCACCCAGTCTCTTCTCCTCAAATAAATATATCAGTCACTTGCTGAGTTTCTTGCCCGTTCTTCTCAGAACAAGGCCTCCTGGTAGTTTTGCGAACGGATGGCGTAGTCTTGCTCTTTCGTGAATTTTGTAAACGTTGTTGACATTCATAAGCATGCTCTAAGAAGCATCTAAATTGAATAAACGTATTTTGATTTTGTTTTTTTTGATTTTGTTAATGGGCAAGTAGGTGGTGATCAGCCTCCTGTGCCTAACAGACTCTGTCGTGTTGGGTCTAAGGCAAGCCGGTTTCCTCACGATGTTTTCCGTCCTTGCACCGGGGATCGAACCAACGACCTAAGGGACGAGAGTCGCACGCTGAAGCCACTAGGCCAACACTGCTCTTCAGCTACATAATACATTGTTATTTTTAGCGATGACGGACTTGATATACCTGATGAACACATTGGTGGACAAGGATGGAAAAATTTTGATAACCGATGTCTACAAGTCTGTGGCACCTTTGACAGACAGTGAAATGAAGCTGTATGACACAATCGACTTTGACCCGGAAGCGTACAGGTACGGTGAAAAAACTAAAAAAAATCCTTTTTTAGCTGTTCTGTGTTCGTCTGCTGCTTGTGTTAAACAGAAAAGTCCAGTCCATTGGGGATCCTATGACCTCATGCTGAAGCTTAACATCTGCATTTTATAGGTAATAATAATAATAAAAGCCTTTAATCAGACAGAAAATTTTACATAATTTTAATCTTAAACTATTGTCTCTAGTGATTCGGTGACACCGACGGCCCATCTGTTTGCCCAACTTTGGCAAAGACCTCCTCCATTTCTTTCCACTCTGCTCTGTTCTGAGCTTTCCTAGTCCATATTTTCCCAGTTACGGATTTTATTTCATCTTTCCACCTTCGAAACTGTCTACCTCGTTTTCTTTTCTTATTTGGTTACCAATATATGATCTTTTTGTTCCACTTTTCTATACCTCTTATTATGTGACCAGCCCATTTTATACGTATCAGGGTATATAATTCATTAGAGCTTCGTAGGTATTTGGCTGTGGTCAGGTTTGGTTTAAGCCTAATTAAAAGCGAAACGGAAAGCGCATACTTGCTGGGAGAAATCATGAGACTGTACGTTCCGGACAATTATTACCGTTGCCGGAAACATAACCTTTTTGCTGTGCGTTCGGCTCGTACTGTCCAGCATGAACAAGCTCCCATTCCTCGGTTACTCTCGCTGCTAAATCGGTTTCTCGACTCTTCACCGGAGAGCGACCTATTTGGGAAGCGTGTGGGGGTAGTATACTGTGATTTGAGAGTGTACTTGGAGGGGATATGAGGGTAGCATTTACTGTCAATTTTGTAAATTAGTTAATTGTATTTTATTGTGGTTTTATGTTGTTTTTAGTCTGAGCTTGGGCTGTAAGTAAATAAATAAATATGTAGTATTTAGATGTTAATTGTTATTCTCAACATATAGTTAAATAATAATAATATTTATTACATTTTACACTACACTATCTACCTTATGAAAATTGCTACTGGTGAGGTTGATTCTACCGAGCTAGTAAACAAAATAAACCTTCAAACATATAACAAAACACTTAGAATCATGAACCTATTGCTTGTACCCAAAGTAAACACATATTATAGAGGAAGCAACTTTATGGTTAGAGCGGCGAACAAATTTAATGGCTTAACGATTGACATTGATTTGTTCGCTGAGTGTGAGGACAGCAAGGATAGCTTTGACACAAAATTATTACAACCATGATGAATGAAGTGCATTGATAACCTTTCATTGTCAACTAATTAAATTCTGTTTTTTTTTTATTTTACACTAAAAATATTTGGCTTAAAAAAATATTCATAAAACAAAAACATTGTTTTATGAAAAAAAAACTATATGTGTTGATTTGTAATTGGCCTACAATGTTATATATATAAATCTTTATGTATTGTGCTGTGAATCTTCTGAATAAATAAATAAATTAATTAATTAAAAAACAAAAAGTTAGGTTAGATTAAGTAATTAATAAAAAAAAGTTAATTTGCTTAAATACAATTATTAGTTTTGTTAGTAATTAAGTTTGGATCCTAAATTTACTTGTGTTAGTTTTTCCTTAACCCTATACTATTATTATTCTTCATTCTGTAAGAACTCTTTGTTTTAAAAAACTTGAGTTTTTGTTTTAGAATTTTTTTTTAAATGTGAATGACCGCTATGAGGCGTGCACTTTTGGATTTTCCAAACTTATTAATTTGTCTTCCTCGTTTTCTTTTGTAGCGAAGCGATTTAAATTCTTTTACTAATAGAAATCCTGTGTATATAAAATAAAATAAATAAATTAATCAGTTGCGCTATAACCTTTTTAGGTCTGGGCCTCAGATCTGTTTCATGATAATTTGTCAATCTAATAGGCAAATAGGTCTTCTGTGCCTGACACACGCCGTCGACTTTTTGGGTGTAAGGCAAGCCGGTTTCCTCACGTTTTCCTTCACCGCACGAGCGAATGTGAAATGCGCACATAGAATGACAGTTCATTGGTGCACAGCCGGGTATCGAACCTACGACCTCAGGGATGAGAGTCGCACGCTGAAGCCACTAGGACAATACTACTCTACATATATACCAGAAAATAAATAAAAATCAATCAAATCGTTACAGTGGAGTTTATATCACATTCTTCATTCTACCATTTTTTCTGACTGAACAAATGAATTTCGTTTTAATAAGTCTTTGTAGCGCCAATATGCACATTTAATTACCCACAATAGTAACTGATAACGTATCGCGTTATACATAAAACTTGTCATTTATGTATCTACTAAATATATACCTAACGTCCTTTGATGCAGACAGTGCACGATCATAACAACTTTCAGCTACACTCTCAAATACATGCGCATACACACCTATTCACACACTCACTCACTTCATTTGCAACACTAAATTAATTACTATTATTATTTTTTTTATTATCATCTTTTTTTCAAATAATTTAAACATGTACCACGTAAAAATTGTTTTTCTAGTTACCCACAACACAGGGGCCTCCCTAGTGTGGGGACTAGCGATATATGAATTCTGTCACAAACCCTTTTGTCATAGAGTTTTTATTATTATAATTTAAATCGCGCCACTATGTACCAGCTGCCCATTGAAGTATCTCCGAACCTTAGGGATTCTTTCAAGAGCGTAACAATTCTTAAAAGCAACGCACATTCGAGCGCTCTGGTATTGAGAGTGTCCATGGGCGAAAGGTATTTCCGAACCAATTCGACTTAGGGTCCCTAAAGGTGCGCTTACACGAGCAACTAAAATTGCTCAATTCCAGTCAATGCTCGTCAACTATGACGTCACGACTACATCAAGCAATTTACGGCAACGGCAACAAGCATCAATACTGCGCAATACAATATTGAGCGATATGGCGCAACTTCATCAACTAGGCAATACTGTCCTACACGAGCATTTCAGTATTCGCTCGCTATGGACGACATTGTTCTTGCTGCGGCGGCTTGCAGCGCTTTTTTTATGATTAATCAAAAACAAAAAAGAAAGAAAAGGAATAGGCGTATCTGGGTGCGATCGTTTATGGCAAAGAGGCCGCAATTTTCATTGTGTAAATAATTAGATGATATATTATTCAAAAACTTTACTAGAATGTCACGAACAGACTTTGAATTACTTTTGAATAAAGTAATTAGAAATTATTATTATTTAGACCTCTCGATCTCCCCGCGGAAGCAAGATGGCAAGCCGCAAAACAAACAAGTGCGAATGAGACATATACAAAAATTGCTAGGAATTTCCAAGTCCATTGGATATTCGTCAATTCGTATCTGCGACATTGAGCGATATGTAATATCTGGAGCAATTAGAAGCAATATCGCCAAAATAATTTATTGAATTTATTGAAATTGCTCCAGATCGGTCCATTCGTGTCGCCGAGCAATTATTGCCCTCGTGTAAGCGCACCTTAAGAGTTTACCAATTAAAAAGGCCCTGTTCCTTCTGGCAGTCACAATGCCAATAATGGTATCACTATTTTTTTAATGGCTCTGGCAACGTCTTATAATTCGATGGAGCCGGCTGCACGCACGAAAAAACATGACTCATGCGGCGTTACCTCTGAGGCGTTCCATTTAAGGCTTGAAGTGCAAGCGAGAGCACTTGTTCCGCGCTCTCGCTTGCACACAAAAATTGACATAATTGTGTTTATGCGTACAAATAAATGTAACTTGATCAGTTCAATTGTGATTTCCATTTACTTCCTTCTCTATATTCATACAAAATATCTATCAAACAAATAAAATTAAAATTTTCTTTTGAAGAATGCAACCATTCCATCAGTATTTTCTTATGACGTTGTCACGTTCAACTATCGTCAGTAACCGACTTTACAGACAACCGATATTTTTATAATTTGTGCTTTAGAAATTCGACCATGTCCTCCATGTACAGTTTAAGCACTCGCCCGGTACCGCACAACCCTCTCAAAGGCCGAGAACAAATTTAAAACTTACCCTCAAACCGGGAATCGAACCCGGTACCCCTCACCTAGCTGCCACTTAATAAGACCGCTAGGCTATGAGGCCCCCAATGGTATCACTTAACATCAGGTTTTGCCTGATTTTTTATAGAACAAGAGCAAACTAGTCATCTGATTTTTAATAGCCCGTGGACACTCAATGCCAGAGGGCTCGCGGATGCGTTGGCCTTTTAAAAAAGGTGGTTTTTGAAACTTACCTTGGTAAATATTCCGTATCGCGACACCAGCGATTTTGAGGAGGTCCCAAAACACTTGCCATACACACGAAAGATCCAAGTAAAATTTATTGTCCTCCCCACCAGGAAAGCCATTGAGGCCTACAAACTACCACACAATGGTGTTAAGGAACAGCTCTTGATGCACAGATGGAGGTATCCAAGTCTATCTCTTCATGGTATTGAAGGTAAGAACTTTATCTTGATCCAAGCGTATTGCTATTTTTTATAGGATATACGAACGAGGTATGACCATAAAGGTCAGTTACCAAAGCCCATGGGCAGGCATTTTAGTTGGTGAGAGAGGAGTATGCTCTCTTACCCCTTGGCCACAGTCACCTGCGGCGCGGTTTGCGGCGCGCAAAGCGGCGCGCAAAGCGGCGAGCGGCAAAAACAAATTGAGAAAATTGTATGAAGTATGCCACAGCTATCGGCGACGCGCATTGCGGTGCGACCTGCGGCGCGGTGGCACCCGCGCGGTGGCGGCGGCGGGGGGTCTGCGCGGCGTGCGAGTGAATCAAATGCACTCAAGAGTATCGAGGCGGCCACAGCTAAGAGCGGCGCGCGCCGCGGCATTGGTGGACGCATTTAGCATCGCGCGACCAAAACAAATAATTTTGTTTTTATCGCGCATTGAGCTCATATAAAATAATGGATACAAAACAATTTATTAGTGAAATACTGAGTAGACCAGCAATATGGATGTCAAAACATCCACATCATAAATATAGGCATTTTATAAAAAAAATTGTGGGACGACTAATAAAACTAACTAATATACTCTAAATATTGGCGCCGCGGTCGCAACTGGTCGAGCTGTGGCATACCACCGCAAACCGCGCCTCTCGCAGACCCTCTTGCCGCGCCGCGCTCCACACCGCCAGAAACTGTGGCCAAGCTCTTAAATATGCTCGTGAACGGGTACTACTTGTGGTGACTGGTCGGGCTTGTTAGTTGATGGCGGTGATGTAAGTTATTTCACATAGTCGAAATAACTAACATCATTGCGTGTTGTTCCCACGAGAATGTAAGTGCGTGCTCCTATTTCACCATGACAACTGCTGATAGAGGAAAATTCTTTGTTTTTAATTTATTTTATTATTATTTATTACTTAAGATGTCATGTGGAACATGATGTAATGGTTGCAGCTCCTTGCAAACGTGTAAAACAAAAAACTTGGTGATTGAAAGTGGCGGAGGTTTTATTGCCAGTTCTTCTCTATCGTTCTACGCCTTTGATTAAATGGTAGTAAATGTAAAATTAGAAGCATTTAATATATATTATCATTACGTTCATAAGTGTACATTGTGTTACCTATATGAATAAATGATTTCGACTTGACTAAACTATTCGGGGTCCCCACCGGGAGTCGATTCCACAGTTCGCTAGCAAAAGAAAATGCAGTGAAGCGGATAGTGGAAGACTTTCATCAAGGTGATGCGGATGAAATTTGGTGGTAATCCAGCTGGTACGGTCCTGAGGCAGGAGGGATCAACCCAAAAAACTCTTGAGAGGAGGGCCTCATAGCCTAGCGGTCTTATTAAGTGGCAGCTAGGTGAGGGGTACCGGGTGCGATTCCCGGTTCTATTGCAAGTTTTAATTTAATTTAAATTTGTTCTCGGCCTTTGGGAGGGTTTTGCGGTACCGGGTGAGTGCTTAAACCGTACATAGAGAACACTGTCGAATTTCTAAAAAAAAGAGAAGCACGAATTATAAAAAATCCTATACTTGACGCTGGCTAGTGCACAAATCGTGCCAGAGCCATAAATAAAAAATAAAATAAAAAAAAAACAACTCTTGAGAGTAATCTCCATAGTACACTTTGTAGATGTTATGTGATATGTTGACAAGCGCGGATAGCAAAGGAATTATGTAAAAAATAAAATATGTTTATTATGGAATATAAGATACAGGTATCACTTACTCCACGTCATTAAATTTGAATTTGTAGGCATCCCTACTCATCGGCAAAGAAGACAGAGGGTGTAGGCCGAGAGAAAAAGCCGGCGTAAAAAATTCTCGGTACTCTTTTAAAATATCAAATCGTCATACAAAATTACTATGGCGAACATAGATAAAAGAACCAGAAAGAAGGGAAATATGGTCCGCACGTGATGGAAACAAGGAAAACCTGACCAATTGGCTGTTGATATTTAGAGTGCTATAAAAAAATATATGTTAAATGTTATCGCTTAGGTTGAAATTATGTAAATGTATATATTTGGTTAGTGAATAAAGACTTATTATTATTAAGGTCCGGAAGAACTCTCAAAATAAAACCTATTTGGAGTTGTAGCGCTACTGGATTATTACATCTTTATACAAGTTCCGAATATAACGCAAAACGATCGAATGTTCCTTTACTAGTTTGATTAATATGAACTTGTATAACCTCTTGCGTGACAATAAACGGACAATTTAGATATTCATTGAATCTTCTTTGACATCATCAAACACATGAAATTTTGTTCATTATTAGCGGTTTAAATACTCAAGATGGACTCAGTTGGAGGAGCCCTATATACTATACTAGCTGTACCCTGCCACGCTTCACTGTAGCGCGAGTGTTTTCCTTGCTTCGGACGGTGCGGTCACTGGTACACAGCTGATCGATAAAAATACTGTTGTAAGCGTATACAAACCAACACAACATTTTTATATATATAGACTAGCAGACCGGCCAAGCGTTGCTGTGGCTAAGGTTTTTGTTATATTACGTAGTAGTAAACTATTCAAGGGAAGCGGTAGGAGAACACCAGTCATGGGGACCACCATGCTTTCTTGGTGGTAATGCCATTAAATTGTAGCTTATTTGAAACGTTGGTACTTTCAACACAGCGCCATCTGTTAGAATTGTGACTATCAAATAATAAACAAATATTTTGCAATAAAATTATATTGCGGGTGTACATTGAGATGTAAGCTATCCTATCTTTTAAGTTGGATCAAACTACACACGGTGCGCAAATTTGATTGATATCGGTTCGGTAGTTTAGAAGTCCAGGAGGGCAAACAACGTGACACGTAATTTATATATATTAGGATATGTCGCAGCCAACTAGTGTAATTAACTAAACAGCGCCGTTTAACTAGCGGCCTGAAAGTTATTTAGCCAGTTGATTACACCGATGACGTTTCATTACTTTCCTAGCCTGTTGTCTGTTGGTTTAAATTTAGTTTCACTTTCTGCCATTCTTCAAACGCAACCATATTCCGCGACAGCTTAAACAAGTCAAGGTCGTTGTATGTCCGGCCTGCTCGGTACAAAAGTGAGTTTTTTGCATAGTTAGTGTTGATGTGAGGATTTTTTGCATCCGTTTCCTGGATATTTATAATAATAATATATTTATTGCTAGAATATGGTACAAAAATGTGTAAGGTAAATCGTAAGTTGGCATATTCTGCCACACACAATGGCGCGCAAATTTTTTTTTAAAGGAATTTTACATTATTAGTCCTATGAATTGGTCAATTCTTATCTTATTTGTATCGTACATATCATACTTTATTAAATTTATATCAACTACAGTGTCTCACGCAAATAATCATTTATTGAATAATACATTTTTTCCAAAAGTAGTACACCAAGTCGCTTTTTATATACAACTAGCTGACCTTGTACATTAAAAGAACAGTCATGGACACCAGTGGCGTAACTATAGTATCTGGGGCCCGTGGCAAATTCTTCCTATGAGTAAAAATCGTCACGTTGTATAAAGTATATGTCCCACTAATGGCCTTTCTTAGGCGAGAGGGAATGGTCTGTAGTTCCCACGCTAGCTAGTGCGAAAATAGCGTACCAATTCTTGAAAGGCCGGCAACGCATTTGCGAGCCTTCTGGCGATGTGAGTGTCCATGGGCGGTGGTATCACTTAACATCAAGTGAGCCTCCTGCCCGTTTGCCCCCTACATAAAAAAAATAAGTTAGTTTATAAGCTGTAAATCATTCTCGATAAAAAAAAATTGGAATATATTTTTTTACCCATAATTTATCGTAACTAATTGACGATTTTTTTTATAAAATACAAGAAACATAAATAAAGGAAGTTTGCCCATAGTAAATACAAAAGATATATCGAAATTAATCGATTTCCAGGTGCCGCCTTCCAGCCTGGTGGGAAAACCGTAATACCTGGAAAGGTGATTGGAAAGTTTTCCATTCGTCTGGTTCCGGATCAAGAGCCTGCTGAAATTGAGAAGCTGGTGTTCGACTACGTTCATAAGAAGGTATGTAAGGGAGTGTTCAAGTATTACGTCACGCAATGGTTGGAGATTATTAAACACAGTGTAACGCGCCGTAACGTTTTTCTGTACCCAAGTACAGTAGTGTCACCAAGTATAGTAAAACGTTTCGTGACCACCTGGTGACTCTTTATTAACTATTATGTGGTGTAAGTCGAAAATAATATTAACAATAACGCGTAATTCAATCACCGCCCCGCATCGGTTTCCAAACCCCTTCCAAAATTCGTTACGTAATACTTGAACACTCCCTAAGGCTGCGTTGTTAAAGGATTTTGGATTTTTTAGTCATCTGCCCCTATGGAAGCCACCCCCCCCTTCCCTTACAATATTTTTCAAACAGGAGGAATTAATAGCCAATTCTTTCGTGGGTTTATCCTTCTGTGTACCTTATTTGTGTATTCTTAAATGATCCTAATCCTTGGGATTGATTTCCTCCAGTTCAAACAATTTGTATGACTCAGAACTTAGCGATTAAAAAGAGTGGCGGCATGTTTCTTGCCAGTTTTTGCCCGCTTTACGCCCTTGACTTGCGAACTGGTAGTAAATGTAAATTTACAATTAATTTACCTTCTTTTCTGACGTTCATAAGTGTACTTGTTTACCTATATGAATAAAGATATTTTGAGTTTACTATTATTATTTAGCTTAATATAAGCTCCAAAACACAAACGCCACTTTGAATCAAAGAAAAAAAAACACATGAGGAATTTGCCCCTTATCTCTCATAGAGACATCTTATCTATCTATTAAACCGCGAGTTGTAAAGATAATGTCGCAATTATGTAAAAAACATGACAATCGATATGACGTAACATTTTCAATTCACGAGTTTTAGTTCACGTAATTTTGATTAAGACTACTAAAGCGGGTTTATATAAGATGACCAACTATTTAAAGATCAAAAAGAGTACACTTTGCAATTATTTCATAGGTAAGAAAAGAAAAAAATAATGGTGCGTGTACTTATGTACGCGCGTAAGAAGTTATACTTCTTTGGCTTTCTTTATTTTTTTTTAATATTAAATAATTAATATTTAGCGTTAATAATTTAACAATATTTAATATTTAGTATATTATTCAATTATTAATTAATATTAATAATAATAATTATTTATTATTTTATTATATTATTAATTCAATTTAATAACTAGGTAGGTTTCATAACCTTTTAACTAAGTAACAATAGGTCTTTGTGAAAAAGCATTGCTAAATTTCTTTGAAAACATAATTAAAACACCTTTATTTGTTTAAAAGGTAAATGTCATTATGGTCATTTAAAATTCTTGGCATAGCTGCTAATGTCACGCATATTCTATTTCTTTTTACTTGTAGATTGTCTTATTCCCATCTCGCTCACGCACGCTCGGTGCCTATACTGATAATTTTGTGTCACGGTGCGCGCGCATCGTAAAATTTCACTCTCATAAATTTTTCATAATGCGCCTAAAGAAGTATAACTTCAAAAACTTTATCTTCTTTTAAAAAATATTTTTCTTCGGAGTGAATTCTTTTTGTTAAATGAGAATGTTCGTCTAATGTATCCACATCCGAACAACTTTCATTTTGCATATTAAATTTGACTTAATACGGCAGATAATGTTTTTAGAGAAAGTTGCGACTTCTCACTGCTTCAATAATCATTCCCCAGTGAAAATACCCTTTCACCAGCACCATTAGTGCCAAGGCAACATAAGGAAATTTCTATTAAAATTTTCATGTGGGATATGTTCTACTCTAAAATGCCGAAAGATTCCCATCTACATTACAAATGAGTACTTTCAGAGTACAGGATTTGAATAGTACATTAGTATAGTTGGTCACCTTAGTTTAGTACGTGATATTTATTCAGCAGTGTTGGCCTAGTGGCTTCAGCGTGCGACTCTTATCCCTGAGGTCATCACCCCGGCTGTGCACCAATGGACTTTCGAGTGCGTATTTAACATCGAACGGTGAAGGAAAATATCGTGAGGAAAAGCTGGTTTCCTCACGATGTTTGCCTTAGATCAAAAAGTCTAACTCAAACACAAACTCAAAATATCTTTATTCATGTAGGTAAACAAGTACACTTATGAATCGTCAAAAAGAAGTTAAATTAATTGTAAATTTACATTTACTACCAGTTCGCAAGTCAAGGGCGTAGAGCGGGTAAGAAGAACTGGCAAGAAACTTTTCGCCACTCTTTTTAATTGCCAAGTATTGTGATACAAATTGTTTGAACTGGAGCAAATCAATCCCAAGGATATGGATCATTTAAGTATTCGTCATATTTATAAAAAGCTTTATAGATTAATTTACGTTTAACAAGGGCTTTGAATTTATTTAGTGATAATTCTCTAATTTCGCTTGGCAATTGGTTGTAAAAACGAATACAATTTCCAATCTTCTGGAGTCTGGTTGGTCGTACACTCAAATTAGTTATATTTCGCGTATTATACTGGTGAAAGTCACCATTTGTTTTAAAATCGTTTATATTTTTTTGGACATACAACAAGGCTTCGAGAATGTATTGACCAGATAATGTCATAATATTTAATTTCTTAAACTTATTCCGTACCGACTCACTCGGAGAAACATAACAAATACCCCGAACGGCCGCTTCTGCAGTACAAATATGGATTGAAGTCGATGGCGTGTGTCAGGCACAGGAGGCTGATCACCTACTTGCCTATTAGATTGACGAAAAAAAATCATTTAATCACATAGGTAACATAATGTAAACTTATGACTTGTCAGTAAAGAAATACATATTAATGCTTCTAATTTTACATTTACTGCCAGTTCTCAAATCAAGGGCGTAGAACGGGAGAGAAGAACTGGCAATAATCATGAAACAGATATCTGAGGTCCAGGCCTACAAAGTTTGTAGTGGCACTGTTTTATTTATTTAATTGTTTAAATGATGTTTCAGTGGGCTGAACGCGGCTCCCCTAACAAGATGCGCATCTGGGCGCAGAGTGGTCGCGCGTGGACTGAGAACCCAGATCATCCCCATTACCAGGCAGCTGCTCGGGCTACCAAACTCATTTACCAGGTAATGTCAGGTTATAGGGGCTGATTCGGTAATTTTTGTGATGAGGGTTTTTATACAGTGTAAAGTCTTATGTATTTTAAGGGACCGAACATTTTTTGCGATAGAAAAAACTAAATTTAACCAATTTCAATAATTTCTAATTTTATTACAATCAATACGACGACTCATTGGTCTAGTGGTTAGTACCCCTGACTGCGAATCCATGGGTCCCGGGTTCGATCCCCGGTTGAGACGAACATCGATGTGATGAGCATTTGGTGTTGTGCTTAGGTCTTGGTAGTTTAAATATGTATTTATATGTTTATCTATAATATGTATGTATATCCGTTGCCTAGTACCCATAACACAAGCTTCACCAGCTTAGCATGGGACTTGGTCAATTGGTGTGAATTGTCTTTAAAAAAAAAAAAATTCAATTCAAAAATAGGTAAATTATTCTAAACACATATATTCTGTTAACTTTGCCTGACGTGTTTTGCTATGACAGGCAATGTAATCTAAGAATAATGGCACACGTGTTAATGTAATTAAGAATAACAAAGGCGAGGAGGCTGTTTATGACCTCAGTTGATATATGTTATTTTTGTAAGCTGATTATAAAAACAATTACACTTAAGTATGTTGTTGATGTCTTAATATGAAAATATTTCTTCGTAATAATGGCTGTTGCGTTGTAAAAAGTACATTAATGACTGGGTTTTGTGTTAAACTAAACAAATTTAACCCATTTTTACGTTATAGATCATTTTTCGTTATAAAGAGCTTACACTGTATTTTTTTTTATGGCTCTGGCACGGTTTGTGCATTAGCCAGCGTCAAGTATAAGATTTATAATTCGTGCTTGCCTTAGAAATTCGACCGTGTCCTCCATGTACGGTTTAGGCACTCGCCCGGTACCGCACAACCCTCCTAAAGGCCGAGAACAAATTTAAATTAAATTAAAACCATCTAGCTGCCACTTAATAAGACCGCTAGGCTATGAGGCCCTTAAACACTGTATTAATATTATTATTAGGTGAGCTGAAAAGTTGACGCATAGATGGCGCTACTATAGGCGACGTGTTTTAAACTGAGCAATAAAAGTCATTGACAGTAGGATTTTTTTAAAATGAAATCTCGCTGTTGGCCTTAAGGGCCTTTACCTCCAGCTCGGGCTGTTATGGCAAGCATAGCTTAGCTAGTCGGACCACGGCTTGGACCGTCCACAGTAGGAATTTCCACGCAATGCAACCCGTTTTCGATAAATTGCTACCTAGCTAGCACGCGGAGTCAATGCGTCATTGTGATCTTCATGAGGGACTGTTCAAGTTTTACGTAAGCACTATGGGGTTTTAGAGAAAGCATTGTGGGGTGCCTTTCTCGAACCTAATTCGCTGTTTTGCTGATGATTTTTCTTTTTTTTCTGCTTTAAGTGCCAACAAATTTCTATAATTTTATTCTTTTTTGTTGTGTGCTTGTATTATCTTGTATGTGTCTTAATTGTATTTTTAAAATTTAAAATTTCTATTTTTTTTTGTGAAACTTATGTTTACGATTAAGTACTGTGTGTGATGTTGTAAGCTTAATAACTAAATAAACAAAATAAACAAAAACAGTAATTATTTACTTTTTTTGAGAGCTTTGCTTACTTTTGCTGACAGGGGGGGATAAATTGCAGTAAATCTGCTTACGTAATACTTGAACGGCCCCATAATGACTCCTGATTGGACGTTACGAGTAAGGGTTGTTGATTTTCTAAAAATAAAAGATTTTTTGTTACATTACCATTACTTTCGCTTCGTTACGCAGCGAACTGGACCAAAGATTCGAAGAATCTTCCGCTCTAAGGAGAGAAATCTCGTCTTTCAAACATAAGTGAGCACTGGTAGCAGCAGAGTTTTACAGAACAAGCTTGGTATTTCTAAGAAGTCGCGATCGGAAATATCGACGAAGCACATAGTAGCAGCGATTTGCTACCATGATGCGTCGATCTCTCGGCTGGGATTGTTGTCACACTGTCACGAATAGTCAAGTATTAACTTATGTTTATTTACATTAGAATTATGTTTCCAGACTGATCCCGACATGTCCAGGGAAGGTGGTTCCATTCCCGTAACAATAACGTTGCAAGAGGCGAGCGGAAAGAACGTGCTGCTGTTGCCCATGGGCGCTGGAGACGACATGGCGCATTCGCAGAACGAGAAGTTAAATGTTCGCAATTATATTGAGGGGGTAAGTGTATATTTAATTATTAATGGTTTAATTTAAAATATGAAATATTCTGCTTTGGAGGCTCATCTGATACCGCCGTCCGTGGATGCTCTCAATGCCAGGGGGCTCGCGAGTGCGTTGCCGGCTTTTTAATTGGTACGCTCTTTCCTTGAAAGACCTTAAGTCGAATTGGTTTGGAAAGATTTCATTTACCTGTAACAAGAAATGCGTGAAAATCTCAAATTGCTGAATCGTTTTTGATGAATTGTAGGAGACTTGTGAATTATCTAAAGATAAGCTTTCCCTAACATCACGGAAAAGGAAAGGCCAATAGATTGTCTCTCTCTCTCTCCTCGGTCGGTAGCTCATGTCTGAGGGTCTTGGTCAGCAAGGAGACACGTGATGTCGTGTACCAGATTTCTGCTTGACACGGCTTTTTTGAAGTGAAAACTTTTTTAGCGGCGTTGTACACTTTTTTTGGAATGGGTAAAAAATGTTAAACTCGCGTCAGGACACGTGACCTGATCGAAATGTCGTAAGACGGATGGAGAGTAGACAGCTGGCGCGGCGTATTTAATGTAATATAAATTGTCTTATTGTGTACCATAGCGCAATAAATAAATATTGTATTCTACCACATAAATGATAGTACTTTTATACTGATAATTAAAGCAATTCGTGCAAAATTATTCTCTAACCATTCCAAAATATCAAAAATGCACAACGTTAATGTTTAAGTTTTCACTTCTGCCGGCACTCCCGGAGTGCAATCCGTCCTTTTTTTTTATTGATCAGCCCTACCTATTAACTGTGAATCTAGCTTCGTTCTGTTGTATTCAAGATTTAGAATGAGAGGTGCCTAAACTCCTAGGTTGGTTTCAGCAGACAGAATTTGCAAAATTCTGTTGTTCGAACCTTGGGAATGAATAAGGAACGACAATTTTAATGTTCTGTTAGATTTTAACAAATATTTCAGAAAGTTTTCACCTCTATTACCTTTATATATAAAGTGCAAATCGCATGGCAGTACTTAGAAATCTACTGGTCACATTGGTTGCCTTAACATTTGCCTATAATAGCTCTGTAATTGATAATAAGTCGTTCCTGAAACAGACCCAAAATGTATCGTCAAACATTATTATACAATAATCAGTCACAAACGCCTGTGTAAAGAATTATACATATAATAAAAAATATCGCTATTTCGCCGAAACTATTGGAAGTAATTCCTTCTAATGGCAACACTTAAGATGTCATTATTGATTGTCATTTGACATCTGTCAAAGTGTGTCGTAAACGAATAAATAACTCGTTAACGAATACCCTCATTAGCTTAAATGAGTTTTATAACCGGATTTATCTGGTTTTCTGGTTCTAATGGAAATTTTTTTTCCAGATTAAACTGTTTGCTGCATACCTGTACGAAGTGGGAAAATTGGCGAAGTAGATTAGGAACATTGAAATGTTTTTAAACATTCCAAAATATTTTTGGTGCCTTATTTTATATGAACTACAATAACTGAACATAAACCAAATGATTAATAAGAATTTTCCATAATTGACCGTCATTAAAGTTGTGCGTTTTTCAATAAAACTAACTTTCATATAACCAGTGGAAATCTTTTGTCTCTTTCGGTCAAATGATGTTTACGCTGTGATAAAAAGAGAGGAGTTTTTTTTAAGGAGTTTTGTTAGCCAGTTATTGTAGTAATAGCATTAACAGAATGTTGTATTCGCATAATAATTTTACTAATCAATGCATAATAAATATATTTCGTTGTATTGTTGTTTTAATTTTATTTATATATGTTACATATATAGAAAAACAAATCACATACATAAAAAGTATAAGGGATGGCGGGTTGGCTCTTATTACATAAAAAAAATCAGCTATTTCCTATAACTAGTAAGGGGTCGTTCAATTATTACGTAAGCACTATTGGGTCTTTGATTTTCTTATTTGGTGATCACGTCAACAGTAATTATTTATTTTTTCACACATTGACTATGCTTGAAAACGAAATGCATTTTTGACGATTCCTACAAACAATTAATACGTTTATGTACTTATTACTATTATTTTTGAGACTTTTGCTGCCAAGAGAGGGGGGTAATCTGCTTACATAATACTTGAATGGCCCCTAAGAAAAATAACTAAAAAAAAATAATATAGGATATGGTTAAAAAATGTTGTGACCGTCAGGTTGTGACCAAATTTGATATCGCAATCAAACTATACCCCATATTTCACTACCTAATTAATACTATTTGCTACCTCTGCAATAAATAAATAAAGTGGCTAGCCATTCTGACGTCAGGTTGGCTGACCATTATCATTTAATTGGGTTCTAAGAATCTTTGAGTAATAGCGTTTTTATACATATTTACTACCTATTTTCTACCTGAGCAAACAAACTTTAAAATAAGTCTCAGAAGCCTATACATTTTTTTATTATTAATATAGCTATGAGGGGTCTAAAAACGCCTACAATGCAATGTTGTGATAAGTTATACGTGCCGAACTCTTGCTTAAACTTTTTAGTAGGCGCTTTTTATTCTGATACATTTTAAAACAAATGGTGTCTTTCACCAGTATAATACTCGAAACAGAACAAATGGATCAACCAGGCTCCAGAAGATAAACCACTCCATGTGTGGAAATTGTATTCAGTTTTACAACAAACTCTACAGAGAAATTTTTCCTTCACCGTTCGAGCGAATGTTAGTTGCGCACATAGAAAGTCCATTGGTGCACAGCACAACAAAATCAAACCTACGATCTCAGGGATGAGAGTCGCACGCTGAATCCACTAGTCCAACACTGCTGTTGTAAAATTATAACTAGGTTTTAAACCAGTTAATTTAATAATATATCATAGCATTTAATTTACATAGCACACAATAGAGAATTTAACATTCACTCGAACGGTGAAGGAAAACATCGTGAAGAAACCGGCTTGCCTTAGACCCATGTCGATGGCGTGTGTCAGGCACAGGAGGCTGATCACCTACTTGCCTATTAGATTAACAAATGATCATGTATTGTTGTTATCGTTTTTGTTGACTAGGAAGTTTAATAATCATGGTTTTACTATATTTTCAGTCAAGTTTGAGGATCTTTGCTTTGTAAAGGTTGCTAGGGTTTTATTCTTTCAGTTTGCATTTGATCTATTTCCATCTTTGGTGTTTGTTGCATTTTCTGGCGAATTCGGGAGAATTCTCTTGTTGTTGTTACTCTTTGTAGGCTTATTCTTTAGTACAACAATCTTGTCGCATTTGATTAATGCTTTGTTTCCTTTGTCCCATTCAGCTTTGACTTGCTCTTGGAGCTCTCTTCTTATTTGTAAAACTGATTGAGGGTAATCTTCTTTTACGTAGTTACGGTATATCTTTTGATGAATCTTTATGTTTGAGGATACAAATTTTCGTGCCAAGTGTCGAAAAAGTAACGACCACCGCGTCGCGGTTTATCAGTCTTTTTTCCCAGTCTTCTGATGGCTTCAAGGTCTTTATAATCTATTTTTGTTGAGAAGTATTTATGTATGAAGTCTGTTATGTAATTTTATAAGTTAGAGTAGGAGTTCTCTTCTTCTGGCAGTCAAAAAAATACTACATTCCGTTGTCTTGCATGTTTTTCTAAGTAGCAGATTCTTTATTCTTGGCTTTCCACTCTTAACTTGAGGTTTTCATCTTTTTCTTCTATAATACTGAGATATTCATCCAAAATATTATTAAACTTTGTTGTTACTTTTTCTGTCACTTCTTCTCAATTTTTATTTATTAATTTCTTCTGTTCGTCCTGCTCAAGTTGAATTTTGCGAAGTGGCGCCAAAACCTCGTCCATTGTGTTAAGTAAAATAATTGAGATCTTGATTTGATTTATTCTGTATACTGGTAGTGACCCCTTGTGATTCAATTTGGCACTGGCACGATGAAGGTAATTAAGTTTTGCGTCCTCTACTGTCAAGGCTGAGAACTAAAACTGCAGAGCAATTAAGGAATATAAGCTTGGGGCCTACCATGAACTCTTATTGCGAGCCTATTGACAACCTACAACTGAGATGCATCGCTAATTCGTACCATGAGGCATGACATCGAAAAAACGAGACAGTTTATGTTCCCACGTGACATTTAAAAATAATAAGTGTCAACTGTCATAGCACCAGAGAACTTTCCGTTTAAAATATATCAAAAGAATAGTTTTATATAAAATAAATATATATATTAAGACATAATAGCTTATTGTGATTCATGAATTATTTAAAATAATTTTATATTTTATTTATTTTCATAGGAACATCTGTCGAAGTAAGTTTGACAGTTAAATTTCTAAACGTACTCAGAAACCACAAACAAAATTATCGTTCTTTCATTCGGTCTTGCGATGCTAATACGTTTCAGCTTATAGGCGGTCATGGTACGAAATAATGCTATTGACTTTAGGTACCTAAACTCCGCTGCATCTCAACTGGATTGTTTTAAGAAAGTTCATGGTAGGCCCCCTGAGCTCAATATTTCAAAGCGGTTGAAGTTCTGCTACTCCCCAGTAGGTAGCGTTAGTTTCTCGTAGTTTCCGTTTCTCGTTTTAAAATATAAAATATTAAGTGGCAGCTAGGTGAGGGGTACCGGGTTCGATTCTAAGGTTCGGTTTCTAAAGACAAGCACGAAATAAAAAAAATCCTATACTTGACGCTGGCTAATGCACAAATCGTGCCAGAGCCATTAAAAAAAATATAGAGTGTGTAGAAAGTTTGAAGTGCCACTGATTTATTTTATTTATTACTAGCTGCCCCCGCGAACTTCGTTTTATTTTATTTACCTTTTTAGTGGAACCAATAAGGAACATTTTGCTATGCCACCCCAGAGCCTCCAGTTTTCTGAAAACTTTTCAAGTTTTTTTGTGAATTTTCTCTATAATATATAATACAGATATCAAGTCATAAGCTTTTAATTTACCAATAAAAAATAGGGATTGATCGTTGCGGGGGCAAATTTAAGGGTTGTATGTATTTTTGTATGCTAAAAAATAAAAATAAAAAAAAATTGTCTAAAAAATTAAAAAAAAAATTTAGGAGTGAATCAACCTCAATATTTAGGGGAAAGAAAAATAGATGTTGTCCGATACGCAGACCTGATTCTCACAAAATTTCACGAAATCAAAAAGTTTATTTACCAACACCGTGATATGAGAATGTTTTATATTAGATAATGTTTTAAAATACGAAATGAACCTTAAGGGGGTTTTTAAAATACATTTACCCGACGTAACATATAAATTATTCAGTGGAATTTCTTTACAGGAAGGAAAACTGCACAGATAACACGTCTTATCTATTTTAATGGTTCTTTATCACACATAAAATTGGCGGTAATCCCCTAATGACAATCCCGCACAACACATAATTGGTCAATTGTCGTAAATGTTTTTCTAAGTCACAGTCATTTTTCAAGATAAATGAGTAATTAAAATCTGGTAAATTTGACGAATCACGAACTAAGTTCGTCGGCGGTTGTTGTATATCGTCAATAGGTTCTGACAAATAGTAAACTTTACAGGGCAGCCATTTCAAAATAATATAATCATGTTAGTTTTTGTCATAACTATTTTAATTCATATTCTGTTATTATGAAAATTGGCATACAAGCAAACAAAAGGGTTTGTTTTGAAACAAAATTAAAATAATAACATTAAATTACACAGTTTTCTATAAAAACCACATGATTCTATGAGCGTCTATCAAATCCGTCACTTTCCGACGAATTAATTAGAAATTTAAAACACATGGAATTTGTTTTTTAATGTAGCCGTAATATTTAGTAGATTTTGAATTTTTTAAAATCCGACATTGTTCTACGATCAAGTCGATATGTTCAGATAGATGTTAAATGGAACTCTTTGTTTGAAGCTGGGTGTCAACTGGCTTTAATCGTTTAATACATGAGCTTATAACTAACATAATATTAAGGGTAGTGGGGTTGCGACGCTGGAATAACAAATAGTATTTTGTTGACTTATTGACTAGTTGTTAAATCTAAGTGACACTTATGTAATATGTTATTGGACATTATCGGCTTATTATTATTGGCTTTAAGTGTGCGAAGATTGTTTACATTTTGTTTACGCTTTAAATTATTATCTAAAATATATATATAACGTTGGCCTAGTGGCTGCAGCGTGCGCCTCTCATCCCTGATGTCGTAGGTTCGATCTGTGCACCAATGGACTTTCTTTCTATTTGCGCATTTAACATTCGCTCGAACGGTGAAGGAAAACATCGTGAGAAAACCGGCTTGCCTTAGACACAAAAAGTCAACGGCGTGCGTCAGGCACAGAAGGCTGATCACCTACTTGCCTATTAGATTACCATAAGATCATGAAACAGATACAGAAATCTGAGGCGGAGACCTAAAAAGGTTGTAGCGCCATTGATTTATTTATCTTATATA